ACTCTTCTAGGGAGTTTCGGGCGCATGCTCTCCGGGAAAAGTTTTGAGATTGAAGTTCACTGAAATGAAATCTAGCGCATTCTGGACGCTTAAAATTTAGCAAATGCCTGGATTCCATATTGAACATGTAATGCTGAAATATTTAATAAACCATAGGTGTGGTTGTGGTCAAAGAAGTAATTAACACTTTATGATGCGAGCAGGGGCCGAAGCGATTGCGGCAAGAGCACAACCTCCCGGCAAAGGCGGAAACATTGTCTCCGCGAAAAATTGTCAAATCCAGTCATTTTGAGACGGACATTTACTGCACTCTGGGAGCTTTGGTCATTTGCGACTGAAAATATAGGCTTCAAACACAGATTCTTTTCTTATTAACAACGTTTATTAAAGAAAATATATTTAAGTAACAAAGCTCGAAGTGCCATCTAACACACGTTTACAAAAGAAAAAAAATTCCCCGACAAAAGGGGGGGGAGGGGGGCCGGGGCCCCCTGGGCCCACCCCTAAATCCACCCTTGAACTGTAATAACCGTTTGGCCCTGAATGGTCAACAGAGTTGTCGCAGCCTTCGGCGAGATATCCCTTGTGACTAATTTAACCCTGGGAAATAATTTTATGCAATTGTTTGAAGTACAATTACAATTTTTTAATAAAGCTGTCTCAATAAGAAATGAATAGCAGCTAAAAACGTCGTGCCACCACTGGCAAAATGCAGCTGGATTTGTGCCGTGTACTTCGTGACCTTTAGCCAAAGGAATAGATAACTATGATTTTTAGAGAACAGGATTAGCTTACTTCGTGATCAGCATAAAAAGTTACAGCTGTCACAGCTGTTCACGTCAGCTTACGAAAATAAAGCTTTACTTTTTCGGTCAAAACACATTTAGTGTCATCGGCCAGAAATTCCTTCTCGTTTTCGTATAAGAGGCCAAACCAAAGATGATAAAATTTTTTATCAGAAAGACAGACTCGAGATCTCTTAAAGAGATTACAAGGGAAGAGTTAATTAATTTAGTCATTTGCGTCATTTTGTAAGACCTTGGTACGTGTTTATTTCTTTCATTAAGAGCGTATTACTTAATTCAATTTATGTTTCTTTCTGTCCGCGAACGCACGCTCCATGGGTGGTATTTATTTAATTCTTTATGCTCAGAGTCCATAATAGCATATAGCTTGTTTGTCGTTTTAATTCTTTTGTGCCTTTGTACAAATCCTATGGTGCGACATTCCAAATGACTGAGAAGCCTTTCAAGCAGTAGTACTCTATGATGTTACTTAATTTGTGTTCATCACAATTTACGTTAAACGAAATTTACAATTTTTCTTCAATACTACGATCTTTGGCCGTAGTTTCATAATCGGAAGGGGTGAGTGATATTAATACCTTGAACGTTTAATAAAAGTTCTAATTAACAGACTGAGTTTTAGTGGGAGGTACACGCCTAATTAACACAGTAACTTAGACAGGAACTCAACATGCTATGAGATAGCTTATTCGAAGTGAAATAGCGATGCAATGGGAAATTCTCATACATTTGTTCTGTTTCAGCTACAGCTTACAACATCATTAGGGAACATTTAAAAGCTGACACGTAAACAAAACGCAAGGTCAGAGCGCCCTTGAGGTAAGTGACCTAAAAAAAAAACATCAAGCATTCGAGTTCTTTGTTTCTTCCTTTTGTCGCTGATAATGGCAGAGGCAAAGTCAGGGAGAATTTATGCTCAATTTTATGGTAGCTACATGAATAACTGGGATAAACCTAGATATCACTGTTTCTGCCGTCGGGGGATTTCATTCCAGAAAGAACTCCCACGAAGCAATTTTAAAAAAGGGTAACCGTCTCCCTGGAGCTTATTAACTAGTATCTGAATACGTCCGAAGCAATGAGGCAATTGTCTGGTTTATCCCAACCATAAGAGTTCTTAACTTGTACCGATTGTGGTTAGGGCATATAGGTTCGATAGAACCTCAACATCTCAACATTGTTCTCGACAAATTTTTCAGGATCCATTTAAAATGACGCTCTTCGCAAATCGAGTATCAAATATCATTTATTTAGTTTCGTTCAACTCTTAACATATCCATGGTCTAAACGTATATGGAGTGAACAGTGTTACAATGTTTTCCCTCTCTCGAATTGCGACCAGAACAAGCGGTGGAAAAGGCTTGAATTCGGCCGCCGCTCTCCCGATTTTTCCCGAGAGATGGGGATGAGTGCGGGCAACCGCGTCCCCAGGTTCTCTCTCCTACCCGTCTCGCTCCGTAGGGACGGCTAGGAGAGAACCCTGGGAACAAGGCTCATTTTTCCCAAAGAGCGGCTGCGATTCTAGTCTCCCACGTAGACGTTCTTGGGGGTTCGTCACGTGTTCTTGTCCTAAGAACAGGCTCAGGAGGAGGAGACGAGCCAAACGAACGTCTCAGTAGGAGGCTACTGAGAATCGATACTATACAGTGAAATATGGCCCGCTTAATTGCCCAATCAAAGCGTGTACTAATCGAGACACATAAGAGATGATATAAGGCAGACGACGCACTGTAAAGAGTTTCAAAGAATAAGTGTCATGATAGTGTATTCGACGTTAAAATGTGACATTTTCTAGAGATGAAATGAAGATGACCTACATAAATATTTTGAAAAGTGTATGGTGATGTAGTTGGCCGTGAATCGTAAAAAATCGAGCCTCCCCAGGCTTTTCTCTCATCAGGGTTTGAGGAACTGATTTTCACTTCACTTCTGATATTTTCTTCTGAGGAAAGTAGTGCTTGATGTGCCCAGTTCAAGGACTTTATGGGAAAAACTTAAGAAAAATCGCCGGCTGACTCGAGAACTTAACACGCACACTTTAGGCCGTACTGAACGACTCACAGGTCTTTTTTGCTGTCGTTGATTAAGCGATGAAACTTTGTCTGCTTCTCAGCTAAGTGTGACGAGAGTCATAAGATCGCAAACCTATTTTCAAGTGAAATCCTAAATTTCCCCATCAAAAATGAGGCTTTTACCTATCGATAAGTGATTGGCGACAGCATACAATCTAGCCGTGACGTCACGGTTTCTCAGAGACTAAGGTGTGATATCAGTCATAAAATAAAACCTTTCAGGCAACAGCTTCCGTTCGCAGACGTAGATTTCAACTTTGGGTTAAAACTGCTGACCTTTGTCTTTACTGACTTCCGTCTAGAACGTCAGAATGGGGAGTTTAAGTGACAACGACGGCGACCGCCACAAAAACGTACCTTAAAAAGTGAATTCGCGCCGCTTGACCGCGCTTATTTCATCTCATCGCCTTCAATTCTCGAAATGTGAGCAAATTTTCAGGAGCTGATATCAACCGTTTCGAAGTCGAGGATAAGAAAAAGAAAGTCCTTTTCTTGCGTTGATCACGTCTTCCTAAAAGCGTGAAGTTAGGCACTCTCACGTCGTCATAATCGTGCAGTGACGGCAAAGAAATGTGGAAAAAAGCGTTTTCGGCGTTGCCGGACAGAGGCCGAACGGTGTGTAAAAGGGAGCCCTCGGATTGTAAAGAAATAACAAGTAATAGAGAGATTCAAAAACAAGCAAAATAAAATGGTAACGCGTAAAAACTGTTACAGTTTTGATAAGATAGCGGATGAACAAAATCTTGGGAAAGAATTTTAAGCTTAAATATAGTAATAACGACAACTATTTCACCTGTCATCAGATTGCGTCTAGAAAAAATGTTTAAAAATGACACTCGTTTGCTTTTCCCGCGAGATTTGAATTGAAGTTAAAAAGAGTTACTTAAAGGTACTCAGTTCTAGTGTTCACATGAAGTTTCCCGCTTTCTCGCGAAAAGCGTTCTTAATTTTAGTCAACGATTCAGATTTAAATTACTTTAAGCTGCTTAAACCACATTTCTCGGAAACTCTGTTAAAACATATCTGAAAAAATCTACGAAAAAAAAAAAACAAACAAATTGCGCGCCTTGCGTCACGAACGTTAGTGAATTTCCGCGATGATGTAATACCACCTCACCCGGGAAGTAAAAAATTCACGGAAATGCATACAAGATTTCCCTTCTCACTTGCATGAAAATTATATAGTAGCCGAGATACACTACCTGAATCAATCGATCAAAACAAACTCCATGTTTTTAAACATACTGTGGGATTGTTAGGGAAGATCTGATAAGGTCAGTACAGGCGACATTTTAGAAAAAAGAAACTCATTGTTTAGCCCTGACATTTCTGAAGAAGAAACTCATTGTCTAGATCAACCCTTTGTTTGAATTTTATACGGTTAAATCTCGCATAAAAGCGACTCTGCTTTTCAACAACACGCTAAAACAGTTTTTCTCTTTAAGTACAAGAATAGAGATGTTTTTTTTTTTCATATGTGGTACATATTTGGTAAGATCAGATGAAAGGTCGTTTTATCCACATGTTCGTGAAATGTTGGTTTTTATAAATTGGCAAATTACCCTTGAACTTAATTGCCAGAAATAAAGGTTTAACTTTACTTCTGCGGTTTACTGGGCTATGGTCCTTATGAATACTGATGTGTCGGAATTTGTAAAATAAAAACAAAATTATCTGAAATTAGCTAATTATTACTTCTTTCAGAAAATGCAAATCTGAGTTTTACTGGGCGAAAGCGAAATTTCGACTCCTTTTCTTTCATTATTACTTAGAAAAAAGGTAGTCATCAGAGAGAGGAAAATAAATAAATAGATTAACAAATAAGTAAATGGCAATAAAAAGCTTTCAAAAACTATGTGACGTCACTCTCCGCAGCGGTTGTGACACACAATGGAAACAATAAGATCACTTAGTCTACAGCGAAGTAGTCGTCCATCCAACCTTTGTCCAAAAATAATTTATTCAAACGATGCGTAAGGCTATAAACACTGTTGGAATTGGTAACTGAGGCGTAAAATTACTCATCGAATTTCTTGTTCAGACGCAAAGTTTTTCACCGCCATGTGATTGTTGTTGTTTCTTCGCTCTCCGACAGGGCTGCCGGACGAACGTGTTAGTCAAGATGTCGCAAAGAAAAGAGGCTTTGAGGGATCTGTTTGAGTGCAGCTGGCGGCCTGATTTGAAGGTAATTACACTTAAAGAGTTATGCAGCTGTGTTTTATCAATGTTACATGCTCTTGGAAAGCAGTTAGCGCGAGTTCCTCGTTCAAAAGACGAATGTGTTTACACAGGCATCAACCGTAAATTACCGAGTCACGCAGTCAAAGAAGGTAACAAATGTTGTTCTTTAGCTTATGTTAAATAATGCGTAGCGATCAACTGCCATGGTGAAACAAATAATGGCCATATTAACGGACGTGATTTAACCTTTTCGCGTTATTCTGCGAATGTGCTGGAATGTACTCGTTAAATGTCTTGTATTAACTGTGCTCGCATAAATACGAATCACGGTTGATCTTTGTGTCCCGTTGGTTTGAATTGGAGCAAAAGAATTAGATCATTTTTGCAGTATTTAATTTTTTCACTCTTCGGTGAAAGGAGTTGATCCAAATCCCGTGAAATACCGGAAGGACCCTACCTACTTTTACGAAATTGACGCGATCTCTGTATGCCTTTCGTCTTTAACATTATATTGTCGGTTTGCGTGTCTCAATATCCTTTTCAAGCTGCGTAGTTTATAACTTACTCAATGACGATAATCACGAGTAGACGTTGAATGTTTACGCTCGACCGATTTGTCTCCATTTAGTAAGCTTTAAAAAGATATATTTATCATATCCTCTTGCAGCATACAGCTTTGATATATAAACTCATCAATTTGGGAATTCATAATGGCTTTTACGTGCTGTCGTTTTGACTGCGATATTTTCCCTTAACCCGGAGGTCGTATCATCGAAAACTTTCGCTTATGCCTTAGAGTTTGCTTTCCTTTCATCCCCTTGCCAAAGCTAACAAAGAGAAAAAATGCGGTTTTTTTAAACCTCCAGAACATACAAAATAATATAATTTAAACTCGGCCCCTTTCACACACCTTTGTAACATATACAAAGGAAAAATAAACCGATTATTATCAGTTTGTTTTGTCACATTCATACCTATTAGCTGTACCCTCTTGTTATCTGTCAAGTGTCCCGTCCAACATAAACATTTCATTTGCCGGCCTGTCTACTAGTTGTATAATATTACCTAAGGTTTTGGACGATCTAGTGACCTGCATCACCGTCACCCGAACAGGAACATCACAGTCACCGGGCAACCTGACGTTTGCATATGCGAACATAATTCCAAATTGTGACGTTGTTTTACAAAATTTATAAACATTTTTAGCTGTTCGCATCCATGTTTTATTCTTGTTACATTATAGAGAAGGGCCTAGCCTGCGTAGCAGGCGCTTGGAAGTAGTGGGCACAAGAAAAAACGGGCGCGCGAGAAGGAGACACGCGAGGGGAGAGGAAGCTCCCTCACCCCTGGCTAAGAAGGGCCTAACAGTGTCACTTCGGACCTACAAAATAATTTATGTAATATTTGTTAAGATCAGTTACCTGTAACGAAAAATCGTGCACATAAATTTTACCATTTACAGGAGGCTTCAATCAAAAGTTAGCCGCGTTGGGCAACTCTTTGTTTATAGGAAAGAAAGAAAGAAAGACAATAAATAGGCTGGGAGAGAGAGTGTGGGCAAGTAAAGGACATTCACGATTGGTGCGTCTCAATCAAAGGTCATCTAAAGTTTGTCGTGCCGAGACTCATCTTTCATTCTTTGTTTAAAAAAAAGCTCTGTGTCTAGAGAGAGGGACCATGGACAGAAAGAGCTAGCAAAAGTACAAGTCGTGTGGGGATTTGGAAGGGCTGGGCGCAGGGCTCGAGCGGCGGGGAGGTATGGTATAATATGGTTGTCGAGAAACCTTCGTTCGAAGCTATTTAAGCTGTTTTGTTGCACTTACTTGGTAAAAAGAGTGATTGAGCTCACAAGTGAGATATGATATAAGTTCAGACAACATTATTTCCAACGTCTATTTACATAATTTATATGTAATTGGTGATAGTCTCTTTTACACAAAGATGGCATTTGCCATAGTTATGTTAAAGACGAGACAGTTCCCCAAACCTTAGCCTGCGAACCGCAGACGAATTTCCAGTCGTCGCTTCTCTCCTTTTGAATTTTCTCGGCGGGTGAAACTAGAAACTAGAGTCGAAAAAACCGGATGCTCTCGCAGGCTACCAAACCTTGGCTTGATAATTGTTACATCATGTTACTTAATGTGATGAAAACCCCTTCTAGGCTGAATCTGCTGAATGAATGAACAGCATATTGGCTAAGTTTCAAACTTTGAACAGTGAAAGTTATAGCCTTTCCTTTAACGAATTGTCTAGTCTAATTTTTGCAAATCTTCGGTCCTCGTTTCTTACAGTTTCTTGGAAATAAATAGTCCATCCCGAGACTGTCTATGGCTGTAGGCGTTATCTCTGTGTGTACAGTCTAGAAGAACAAAACTTTAAAATGTTGACATTTTAACAGTTCAACTGGCTCTAATATTTTATTTTTACTTAATTGACCCCTGTATGTGTTGAATAATCGCCATACTGCAAGCTTAGATTTTGCTTAATTTTATCGCTAACATTAGATTAGATCAGAACACAAGAGGCCATTTGTTCATGAACTGTTAACTAAATGCAGTTTTTTCGTTGCCGATAGAACAATTATCATGTTTCATACTTCTGTATTTTATTGCTGCTCACAAAAATGTACGTTAAGATTGTATCTGCACATAAGAGTGGGACCTGACCTAACAAAGGTGCAATTGCTCGTTGATAATGCTTAATTAAGTCATATCATAGCGTATTGTGAAAGAGTCGAATGAACTCTAACAATTAATTGAATGTCTGCATTTAAGGCTGGCTTGATCTTTTGTGGTGTGGAATGCTGGTTCATTTGCATTTAGAAGCAGTTAATGATTTCAGCTTGTTATCATTGTGGGATACCATTAATATTGCTTCATCGTGACGAAACGTTCAAGGAAATACCTCTTTATAGAGTATTCTGCTTCCTATGCGAGGTTGTCATTGATGGCGAATGATTCAAGATTTTCCTTTACCTTTCGCTCTTGAAGACCAGAGAGTTTTGAGCAAGCGGGCTAGATCACGCGTTAACGACCACTATACATCGTAGATTCCTCCCAAACTGATTTGTTAACTGACGTCAAAATGGTGGAATACATGGTAAGTTTGGTTGATGTTTTTGCCTTCTTTACCGATTTCTTACGAGGATGATCGATTAGTGAACAAAATCTCATAACTTTTATGGTGCAAGAAAGCCGAATTTGTACTTAATGCCCGATGGTTCTTACTTGTTATAGTTTTTAATCATGCACGTTTACTTCTTGCAGACAAAAGGAAATAACCTTACTGACTGTTGACTTAAGTCAACATCATTTTCGTTCATTTGTTTGCTCAATGAGATGTAAGGGTGCTTAACCGGATTTTACACTGCGCAGTACTTGTAAAGAGCGCTAGGTTATTTGTTAAGTCTGTTAATATCTTGTTTATAGTCATTAGTGCAATTTGTGCACAAATACAGTTCGCTAATTACGCACACCGTATTCAGTTATTAGAAAGCGGTGTTTAGTCGTTTTAGTTCTCGTTTTACATGATGTTAAATTGTGTGTACGCGTTTGCTGCATTGGAAGTAAGACAGGAGAGGAAACAGAAATGGCCATCATATAAGTTACTCATTGACTCAGCACGTGATAAATACTAATGCCCTACTGTTCGCCATCAAGATAGTAAGGGTTTGAAGGTGGGGGGAGGGTGGGGACGGGGAATGGTAGCTGGTTCCTTGTCTTGGCAGATAGCCCAAATCCAAGTTAGAAAAGCGACAGTCAACAAACTAAAACCTAAGACCGTTAAGTCCGTTAAAATTTCCTGCATTAGTCGGCTGTCTGAGAAGAGCCAGGAGACTGGACTGTTCACTGCAATATCCGCTCCTTAGCCAAACTCGTCGCAGAGAGAAGTCGTTATTAGCTGTGGTCACACTACAGACTTTTACTTAGGTAAAACCGATTTACCTAGGGCAAATTCATCAAAAATCTGTCTAGGTAAATTCATCTCGGGTTTTGTTCAGTACCTAGGTAAAAATTCTGGGAAGGTCACACTACTGATATCGGCTCACGCCAGTTGAATTTTTTGGAGTGTAAATTCAAGAAGGCAAAATGCGTAGGGATCTAGGTGATCAAAGAGAAGTAGTGGGCGAAAGAGAAGAGACGTTTTTTTCTTTTATCTCGCTGTTATTTCTTACGCTAATTCAACGTGCAAGGTGAAGAAAGGCGAAGACGTAGACGACTCGTGCTCCCAAAATTTCTCTCACAGCGTGATCTATGTCCGGTTCTGTCATCAAGACCTTCGCCGATGAGCGTCTATTGGCTAGCAACCTCGGTATTTCATTTTTCCCTAGCTATTGCTTTGGGGTAGCTGTCAAGGGAAACTCTATTGTTTTCGAGACATATCCAAGACCCATCAGGCCCCAGTTGTTCAAAGGGTGGATAACGCTGTCCACCGTCAGCGGATAACGGGCAATTATTTCTCCTAATACTTATCCGGTGGATAGTGATTTATCCAGGCCATTTCAGCAAATACATTGAGCGTTTCGTTTATTCGCGAATAATTGTCAAGTGGCAAATATTGTTTGAATAATAAACGGGAACATAAACAGGAAGTATTAGTAAATATGACCAATACAAGGGCTACAGAGAGTTTGTTGCTAAGTCCGTTTCGAAATTAATACTTTTAACTGAAACATTATATTGCGACTCGATATTACATCTTGAGCTAGAATGATGAGTCACTTGTCACATAAATAAAGTTCTAAATGATTGGGTTAATTTCCCTCGGTAAGTCGCTATATAATAAGTGGCGCCACTCGCTTTTTTCTACTGACCTGAAGAGAGGTGAGCTCAAAAGGAAAAAAGTGAAGTAACCATTTAAAGGTTTGGATTTTGAGGTGACGAATGATTCAAGATTTTCCTTTACCTTTCGCTCTTGAAGACCAGAGAGTTTTGAGCAAGCGGGCTAGATCACGGGTTAACGACCACTATACATCGTAGATTCCTCCCAAACTGATTTGTTAACTGACGTCAAAATGGTGGAATACATGGTAAGTTTGGTTGATGTTTTTGCCTTCTTTACCGATTTCTTACGAGGATGATCGATTAGTGAACAAAATCTCATAACTTTTATGGTGCAAGAAAGCCGAATTTGTACTTAATGCCCGATGGTTCTTACTTGTTATGGTTTTTAATCATGCACGTTTACTTCTTGCAGACAAAAGGAAATAAACTTACTGACTGTTGACTTAAGTCAACATCATTTTCGTTCATTTGTTTGCTCAATGAGATGTAAGGGTGCTTAACCGGATTTTACACTGCGCAGTACTTGTAAAGAGCGCTAGGTTATTTGTTAAGTCTGTTAATATCTTGTTTATAGTCATTAGTGCAATTTGTGCACAAATACAGTTCGCTAATTACGCACACCGTATTCAGTTATTAGAAAGCGGTGTTTAGTCGTTTTAGTTCTCGTTTTACATGATGTTAAATTGTATGTTCGCGTTTGCTGCATTGGAAGTAAGACAGGAGAGGAAACAGAAATGGCCATCATATAAGTTACTCATTGACTCAGCACGTGATAAATACTAATGCCCTACTGTTCGCCATCAAGATAGTAAGGGTTTGAAGGTGGGGGGGGGGGGGGGGGGACGGGGAATGGTAGCTGGTTCCTTGTCTTGGCAGATAGCCCAAATCCAAGTTAGAAAAGCGACAGTCAACAAACTAAAACCTAAGACCGTTAAGTCCGTTAAAATTTCCTGCATTAGTCGGCTGTCTGAGAAGAGCCAGGAGACTGGACTGTTCACTGCAATATCCGCTCCTTAGCCAAACTCGTCGCAGAGAGAAGTCGTTATTAGCTGTGGTCACACTACAGACTTTTACCTAGGTAAAAGCGATTTACCTAGGGCAAATTCATCAAAAATCTGTCTAGGTAAATTCATCTCGGGTTTTGTTCAGTACCTAGGTAAAAATTCTGGGAAGGTCACACTACTGATATCGGCTCACGCCAGTTGAATTTTTTGGAGTGTAAATTCAGGAAGGCAAAATGCGCAGGGATCTAGGTGATCAAAGAGAAGTAGCGGGCGAAAGAGAAGAGACGTTTTTTTCTTTTATCTCGCTGTTATTTCTTACGCTAATTCAACGTGCAAGGTGAAGAAAGGCGAAGACGTAGACGACTCGTGCTCCCAAAATTTCTCTCACAGCGTGATCTATGTCCGGTTCTGTCATCAAGACCTTCGCCGATGAGCGTCTATTGGCTAGCAACCTCGGTATTTCATTTTTCCCTAGCTATTGCTTTGGGGTAGCTGTCAAGGGAAACTCTATTGTTTTCGAGACATATCCAAGACCCATCAGGCCCCAGTTGTTCAAAGGGTGGATAACGCTGTCCACCGTCAGCGGATAACGGGCAATTATTTCTCCTAATACTTATCCGGTGGATAGTGATTTATCCAGGCCATTTCAGCAAATACATTGAGCGTTTCGTTTATTCGCGAATAATTGTCAAGTGGCAAATATTGTTTGAATAATAAACGGGAACATAAACAGGAAGTATTAGTAAATATGACCAATACAAGGGCTACAGAGAGTTTGTTGCTAAGTCCGTTTCGAAATTAATACTTTTAACTGAAACATTATATTGCGACTCGATATTACATCTTGAGCTAGAATGATGAGCCACTTGTCACATAAATAAAGTTCTAAATGATTGGGTTAATTTCCCTCGGTAAGTCGCTATATAATAAGTGGCGCCACTCGCTTTTTTCTACTGACCTGAAGAGAGGTGAGCTCAAAAGGAAAAAATTGAAGTAACCATTTAAAGGTTTGGATTTTGAGGTTGGTTTATTTAATAACCGCGTCCTATTGTTGTTAAATAACTGATTCATTTTAAAGCCGGATAAATTTGTAGGATAGGTTCCAGTTAAAATCGTTTTTACATAGCTAAAATGCCGGGATAAATTAGCTGTCGGTTAAGTACGTGCCTAAAGCTGAGCTAGGACTCTCGGAAGTTCAAGGGTCTTTTGCCTTTGCTCTCTTTGTACAGTGTCAGTTTTAGTGTCTTTTAGCGATAATTGCAAACACCACTAGAGTCAATAGTCGGTGTAGTGCATTAATTTTCAGATTTTCCGTGACAGCTACAACATTTCAGGTACATGCCTTTGATGTGTTGTGAAAATTATCCTCCAGGAAAGATTTTCCGGGAGGTCTTCTTCGATGGACACCTTCAGCTAAGGCTAAATCACCTAGTATTATATTTGTATGAAGTTTCCATGTACATGTACATCATAGACAGGTGAAAATACCCACACCCACGCCTGTTTTTACGTACATGTAATGAAAAATGTACAAAGAAGAAAGAAAATGTTTAGGTCTCACCAAGCGAACGAAATATCGAATAGGCTTTAGTTTAGTGCATGGTTACACCTGATGATTTCGTCAATAATCTTAAAAGTTAGTGGAAAGTACTGTCTACCTTTGATAGTGATGGCCCCCAATCAATCCTAACCAGAACGTTTGATGTAATTACCTCTTTTTGATTTTTTTTAATCAATGTCATGCTTTAATTTGTATTTTTTTAACTTTTAGTTGTACAGTGTATTTTAAAATGCTTGCAACACCTACTTCCATGGCGTCCTTGATGCGCAGTGAAGTAAATTGTAGTAGTCAATATTAATGCGAAAGTCTAAAATTAAAACAATGAGGTATTGATTAGACACAGAACTAAAAACAAACCGAAGTGCGAAATCGGAAGGGTGCTGTTTACTTATGACTGGTTGTCGGTGTTGTAGGATATGTTTCGTCTCACGATCCTTTTCTCCCTTAAGAAAGATTTTGAGGTCAGTGATTATTAGCCAGTGAAGTTTTATTCATAATGCTTTATTTTACTATTTTTTGTTTTATACGTCAATTTAATATTTTTATGCTTGTTTACGGACTTGAGAAACAACAACAACAAAAAACAATAACAAAAAAAAAAAACAAAACAAAAAGCAAAGAAAATGGGTTCGTTAATTTCAATACATAGAGTGCGATTTGATTTCCGATAAAGTGATATAATTATGCCACGTTTGTTGTCTAATCTGGGCAAGTGTTTCTGTAGAACGCAGAGTGTTAATAACCAGTAGCCTAAATAAAGCGTGTATTTTTTTTTCTTTTGTCCTCTCATGGTGTTAAGATAATGCTGTGTTTCCATTAAGTCCAATTACTCTTTTATCGGTGTCCATTCATGCAATCAATGGGCTAATGAACTTTGTGTGTCGTTTCATTGGCAATAGCGGTCTTATTAAGCTTGTTTGTCAATTATTCATGATCCAAATCGCTTTCCAACTACTTGAAGAAGATGGACGTGCTTAGGAGCCCATCAACGCTTTCGTCCATTAGTGCGAAGACGTGATCACGGAAACTTCCAAGATGCATAAGCTTTCACTCTTGGCGCAGTCCGGAAGACTTATTTAATGGCACAATGCCGTCAGCCTTTTGGCATCGTTCTTTTATTAGGAGTGTTCTCGAGGTTGGTGAAATACGTTAGTTTGTTAACTCGTAGTGTGAGCGCGAATACTTCCAGTTTTGTTTTGTCTGTGGACCGATCTCTGTACGAAGTCTTGTGGCACTGTTGCTTTTCAAGTGTAGACTTTTTACTGTATCATAGTGCTTTTTGCTAGTACAAATAATTTCTTTTCTTGGTGATATTTTTCCTTGGATTTTATTGTTACAGTAGTCGTTTGTTGGAATCAAATACAAGACATGACTCTTTTTTTTTTTGAAATTTCCTTTAACCGCAATATTATTTTATTCTTTTTTAACTTCATTTTCATAGTTATGGTCCCATTATACGTAATAAGTTTGGCTCACTGGTCCATCAAGCTTATTTTAATGGGAAAAGTTTAAAATGCATTAATCCTTTTCCAAGTTTTTGCATACTTAGTGTTATTTGACGATATGATTTGCGAATATTGAAAATTTTTTTCCTTGTTTGTAAAATCTCCGGCCCCTCAAAAAGAACTCAGAAGCAAAACTGAGCTAATTATTTAATATGCGTACCGAAAATGTCTTAGGCCCCGACCACACGTATCCGAATATTGTTGAATCCGCAATTTATGAATAAATAAAATATCAAAATAACAAAATATTTACTTCATAGCAACCGACTTTGTTGCCGAAATTGTACTCGATATGTCATGATTGTATTATAATATCAAGAATTCGTATCAAGCATTGCTATTGTTTCAATTCTAATCTTTCTCAAAGCCCAAAATATGGATGATTCACTTGCTATAATAGATTTTCCTTGTGTTTCGTTGCTCCTGCATGTTCTTAGCCTTTCTTTCGTTTTTTTTTTTTGAGTCCCTAATTAGTCTTTCACACGCGTATAAAGTCCTTGAGTTGCACGTGTAAAGTCAGGTCGCGTCAACGATAACTGCACAGTTGTTACTACAATTACACGTTTATCACATCGAGCCTAACCTAATGGCTTGTTGCAGTCCACAAACGTGGCACAAATCAATATCGAACTTAAAAGTTGCCCGTGACTGGAAGTCAAGGAAGTATACGACATCCGGTCCTCAGTTGTTAATCGCCTCAAGGCAGCACGCGCATGGCAAATACAGAAATTTGCATTTTACAACCGGTCTTGATTGGTTACCCCTTTGAATGTGAGTTTTAATCCATTTGTGGGTCACTTGAGAACGGGGACCGTTTTCGTGAAAGGAACATTTCAGTACTTTAGGACTTGGAATAAATTCAGGTAAAGTAAACTGAGGCACGCTACAAATTAAGATAGCGAACTACAATCAGACTTGCAGTGATTGTTCACCGCTAGGGAACTGACTGCTGTATAGTATTGTGGTTTAATTTTCTTCTCGGTTTCAAACTCTTTTTGGTGGAAATTAAAAATTTAAACCAAGGGTAAGATTGAGCCACACAATGTACACCATGTTTACCGTTAAAAAACTATCTCAGAACGACGTAACTACAAAAAACAAACAAACAAACAACAACCAGTTGCAGATCATTACATGGCATACGCGAAAGTGTATTTACACACAGTACATTAGAACGTTTACTTGCTTACATTAGGTTTTTGCAACCAGTTAACATGTTTGATGTGACCAGTCAGCCAGTAAGAAGGTGGACATAATAATCTAGGAAAAGTTGATGTAGTTTTGTGATTCTTGTCGCATGGATTTGGGTCGGAAGACCGACTGACAGAGTCTCTTTCGCATTCAGTGAATACGCTGGGTCAATACTACACATCGCACATCACCATACTTATGTTAACCACTTTCTTCGTCATTATCATCGTCATTCTCGTCCTCAAGCTTAGCTGGAAGGCGGATGTGTCAGCCGTCATTCACATGCGGAAAAAGGTAGCTCCAGTATGTTTCTGTATTTAATCAAATCTTGTGGGCATGCTAATTTGTTGGGGATGTTCTAATACACATGAATAAAGCGCAAGCTAATTTGTTGGGGTGTTCAAAATATGTGAATGAAAGGTATCTTAGTGGGGGAGAAAGTGTAAGGGATTCACCGATTGGTGTAAATCGTATTAAATTTTAAATACAGAGCCAGTATGGTAGAGAATGGAATACAATAGAGAACGTTTTCTTTTAAAATGTCTTATTTGTTACCCGCATATATATACGGGCCAGTTTTTATGAAAAGATAAGTAGTTGGCAAATTCTCTTGACAACGTGTTGTTATTCTTAATGGGAAAACAAACAAGTCATGCGGAAGAGGAATATTCTTTTAGCCACTCCCCATGAAAAGGGTAGATTCCTTGATAACGTTGTTCAAATTATCAAGTTTCCTTTTGGCCTTCAGAGGTAGTATTTTATATGAATAGAAATAAGCATCACTAAATTTGCATTTTCTCCCGGTTTAACTAGGAGGAGATGTGGGCTTCCTCTTCATAATACTTTTTTTCCAGGTACCATTGCTTTCGTAAATCCTTTCTTTTCACAATTCGTTAAGAAATATGTGTATTTTAAAGTACAATTTGCAGTTTGCTTATTGTTCTCTCTTTTACGTGCATGTGAGCCGCCTGACTACCGCTTTACAAATGACTAACTGCGTAGTGTGTTTTTTGAAAAAGAAACTAAAATGACAAAAAGGCAACTTATTAAAATGTAGAGTAAACAGAACCAAATTCTATTAAGCAGACGTTTTTGCTTCTTGTGAATGCTTTTGAAGCGATTCTAGACAAGTGTTCTTTGCATAAAAGTGATTAGCTGTCATGTTTCTTCAATATTACGCGCTGCATTTTGTCAATTTTTGCATAAAAAGTCAATCAAGATGCCGACCATTAGAGAAAGCTATCTGTGGTTTTACAGAAAATGTCTCTACAAGTCCTTGCTTAAATTGAATGAACAGCAAACGATATTACTAATAATGCTACAGTATTAGAGCTGTTTATTTGATCTTTCGGTGCCTGTTATATTGATTATCTCCACTTCAGCCGGATGGGCATCTGTGCGGAATTCCTTGTTTGCCCTTTCGCGGCAGTAAGTATACTTTACTTTGAAAAACATTTTCCTTAAGTCTACAGTAGTTAGTGTGTGTTTGCGTTAAGCGACCGGCACGTTATATGAGTGTTTAATTCCTGACAACTAAGAATAAGTAACAGCTAACGGCCCGATACGAGGGGTTATGCGATATGTACATATATATTAACCAATAGCGCAGCCACCGGCTTATTGTGATATATACGCAATGTCGTAGATTATCATCTCTGTCAGAGTTAAAACATCGTCCTTTTAAGATGATTAGAAACATTTAATGCAGTCTCAAAAAGTCTCCTTTGTGCGGCCCTGATCATTTCCTTCTTTTACGTTTAACCTTTGCCTTGGTGTAAAATTTTAACCTCGGCGGTGGGAGAAATGCGTAATGATCCTCATTTCGCCAGCTTGAGGCAAAAAAGAAGAAAACATTCTCGAGTACATGAAAGGATTCGGTTTTGGGGGGGTTCAAACGGTCGAATCCTTCGGGGGTCTCCAGAAATTTTCTTTCTCTACTCTCGTAAAATGACGATTATTTTATTTTATTCTTCATTTTCTTTTGTTGTTATGAGGAGTTGACATCGCGGATAGAGGGGAGGGGACTATTATTTCGTAATGTATATATTGTGGTCCAATTTTATCCTTAGTAGCCTGCGAACAGCAGACGTTTCTCCTCGCTCATCGCCGCTGAAGGACGTTTCGCGAGGAGGAGGAGGATTCGTTTCGTTCCTCCACGTGAAACCTCCCTCAGCGGCGATGAGCGAGGAGAAACGTCTGCCCGTTCGCAGGGTATATCCTTAGTTGAAATTTTATTTTCGTTTGTTTTTTTGATTATAAATTGTCATGCTCGCAAACAAAGGAAGCCTAATTTATACCAAGAGTGAACTAGTCCTGTTCTCGTCATACTATACGAGCGAATTTTACCACCAATCCTTGTTTTGAAATTGTACAGTTGCAAAGAACTCCCAAGGCATTGCAGTTTAAAATAATACCCATGTACATGTGCATACAATGAAACTGCGAAGAATTTGCTAATAAACGATGCTTGGTCTTAAACTTTGCCCGTCTGACTAAGGTTGCATTCGTTTTAGCCAATCTAAATCCGGATTTTGCTGTCGAAAATTCGATTTTTTGTTCCTTTAAGGACCAAACCAATCTAAGATTGCAATCCGAACGATCTACCTCTGAACGTGGATCGTTTAGATTGGTATCTCAATCTGGTTTCAGATCTTTGTTCCATTTAATGAAACTGCTTTTCGATCGCAAAAACGTGCTCGTTCATCAGTAAACACGGCGGGTCAAGGTTAGTTCAGGCAAAAGTTATTCATATTCTCCCGTTGTTCTATGCCGCTAAAGGATTGTAGCATATTTAACTCAAGTTCCACTGTCACTCTAAATCCGTTAGGAAGTGAAAACGCTTAGGTATTCTCACTGTAAAACTATACTGTCCAATGTCTGTTTGTGTTTAGAACGCGCTTCTCAGCGATTGAGAATTCGTAATTGTCTTCAGAATTTTCTTGAATCAAATTCCAGCCGAATTTTAAGTTGATGAGTTCCCGTATGAACCACCACTAGTTAAAGAGCTAATTTTCTTTCCGTTTCTCCACGAGAAGATGCTTTTAGCAGAAAGAAGTAAAAAACGATGCGTTGAAATTGTGAAGAAGATCGGAGCAGCAGGCTGCTGCTGTATGCATCAATCTTACTTCAGATTTTTGTTCCGGCTAGCACGAAAATCCTAACAATCTGGATTGTCCAAATCCGAAAAAAGTTTGGTTAAAAGGAATGTAACTTCGAAGTCATGCATAAGGGCCATTGAACCACAATATAATACGTGCCATTAACTTGTTTTCTGTGCATTTAATGAAGAAACCAAAAACAAGCGCATAAATGTTTATAGGTGTATATATGTATTAATACAAGGTTATTTTAATGTCCTTTTGGTCAGTTAAGTGTCACTAAGCATTTCCAAGCAACTGCATGTTATAGTCAAGCAGACCATCGATATTCATTCCGATAAACGCAATTCGCTTAATCGATGCTACGCCCCCCGCCCCCCCATAGACTAGATATTTCAGTGTTGCCACGGTCAGGGAAAAACGAAAATTTGTCAAGGTGAGGGAAAAGTGAGGGAATTCTGTTTTCCGGTTTGTAGTTCATGAGTTTTCTTCAACACTTGGTAGTGGTTGTTATTGTGAATGCTTTCTTCCAAATTCCTTCCTCCTCTTTCCGCTTCCATTCTCTTTCGCGGAAAGAGGTTGAAAATGAAGAGAAAAATACCAATGGCCCGCCAAAAAAGCTAAAGCGAATGTAAACGTCGATTGTTTCTCAGTAATAAAAGGTCAGTGAAAAGTCGGGGAGAAGTCAGGGAATTTTTAACTTTCTGATGAGTGGGCACCCTGTATTTAGTTATCGACAACCTTTAGTTGTTATCGTTAATTACTAAAAAGTATCGACAGCTTTTGGTAGTCGGTAGGGGTTTACCACACACCGGAGGATTAAGTGTATGTTCACGCTAATACCGGATAGCTCGATATCCCGCGGTATAGCAGTGATTTTGTTGCAATTAGTTATGTAGCCTGTTCCAGACTCCAAGATAGTGGCGAAAAGTCGTTCAGTCAAAAGGTGTTAACAAAAATGCGAAAAACGCGCGGGGGCTGGGGAGAGACAACCCACTTTCCCAAGTCTCGCGCGCCTTATTTTCGCTCTGCTCGTTTTAATACGTCACCACTATACTATCTGAGAGCCTGGCACAGGCTGATGGTTATGGTGAGTCCTGGGACTCATTTTGTGAAAAATCATGTGTCCCAGTCTAGAACCAATGAGTCCTAGGTCAAAAAAAGCAACGAATCCCAAATTGAAAATGCTTAGGCCTTTATGTAACCAGACAGTTAATCTGAAGACGGACTCCAAAACTCTTTGCTACAGTATACCGAAATTAAAATATAGTCCTTCTATTTTAAAGCACAACAAAGGCTAACAGAAATATGCATCGTTTAACAACAGCCGTAACAACTGCCACAGAAATTACACGAAAAGGATATTTCTAAAAAAACACATGGATCTATCGGTCGATCTTCGCGTCGTACGGGACGCATGCACGAATTATTTTGCATCTTTTAAGGATTTTTATGCGTCAGGGACGCGGGACGCGGGACGCGGGACGCAGAAGTAACAAAATCACTGATATAGTATAACATCCATCCGGTATTAAATCTCGGGTCAATTCAGGTTCCTGGGAAACTGCCCACCTACCCCTCCTCTATTCCAACATTTTGCCCTAAGTGAGAAGTAAGTGTTGATATTGACTTAGGGGAGGGGTAGGTGGGCAGTTTTCCAGAAACCTAAATTGATGGTAACTCTCTGCTTTAGGAGGGTCCCCAATACACAGGAAAAAATAACGGATTCCCAAATTTGGATATTTTAGGGTATTTAAAAAAATACCCATAAAAATCCCAGATTTGGCAAAGTGAGACAAGTCCCAACCACTCTTCCAAATTTAAGATTTTTGTGGGTATTCTTTAAATACCCTAAAATATCCAAAAATGGGAATCCGTTATTTTTTCCTGTGATAGGGTCCTTCAATCTTCAATCATACTCTTGTGTATTTTATAAGTGCAAGAGTATGACAGAGACGGAAGATGTTAAATTTAGTGCCAAGTGCTTATTCGAGGTGAAATTAGCCTCCCCTGACGCATTCGGTTCCTCTTAGTTATAGAGTAACTCCTTTGTTAAGCAAACTTGTTCGATCAAGATGGCTGGATGATGGCCTTGTTCTTATTTTCCATTGTTATGTTACTCACAATTAACCGCCCCCCCCCCCCAAAAAAAAAAAAAAAAAAAAAAAAAAAATAAAAATAGAGTGTGAGCCATATGTAGACATCTTGGCCTCATGTTTGGACACTTACGCACAGATGTGTATGATAAGGACAGAATATTTTTTTTATTTGTTTTATTAGTTGTTCGTTTTCAACTTCTTAGGACTATAGCAAGCGCAGGGATACTTTCCAGCAACTATTTCTTTCCTTGTATTTCTTACTTTCTTGAAATGTTTTTCAATAACTAGATTCTACTGAGGTTAAATCAAGCTACGTATGTGTATGAGGTAAAGAAACAATACATTTATTCCAGGGGGGAAAATTAATCAGACCGCCTAGATACACTACCCTGGCGAGGTATGCTTTTCTTGATTAGCTTATTTTTCGTTCTCCTAAACAGTTCATAAGGAGTAATTTGCAATAGCAGTCCGGCCATCCATGTTTCACAGTAAACGCAGGTTTTTTTTTAAATGCCCCCTTTCTTAAAGTGCAAATCTTTTTTTTTAATATTGATATTCCTTTCTTAAAGTTTCGCAATTAAGCCGATAACACGTAGAGCGGAATGTTGTTCTTGTCCTACTATTACGGTTCTCGACCTTTTTTGCCATCCTTTAAGAGCAATTTCACGACCAACTAGTTTCTGTATTTAATAGCTACTTGAACGATTGAAAGAAAAAAAGGGGTCCTCATAACGGCGAATTCCTTTTTTTTTTTTCCTTCATTATTGTCTTGTAACCAGCAAGACGTGAAATTTGTGCAGAAAAACATGTTCAAGTTGGTTATACTCTTTGTTTGAATAGTTGCAGGTTTGGTTGATTAAGTCGAAATAAGGCATTTAAAATCTGATGGTTTCGCTTCATCGTGAATATAGACCTTGGTTTGCCGCTGTTTGCCCGATATTGAAATGTAAATTAGGTTTGTTGTGGTTAGCAATAATCTTTTCGTCTTAGTCATGGGCTTGTTCTTGCCATGGGATTCTAACGTTATGTCTAAGCATGCACCGGTTTTTTTGTTTAACAATAAGACAGTCAATTGTTTTCCTGGCGTAAGTTAAATTTGAGATCTACTGAGTCATCATGTCATTTGAATCATGGAAAATACACGCTGAAGGATTCAAACAATCTGGATTTCTATTACGGGTAGGAGTTTGTTGTTTTCTATTGACGTTAGCTTGATCACTTTGCTAGTTGATGAAAAGAAAGTCTTCTGCTGCACAAATCAATTGCACAGGCATTCAAAGTCATTATGGTCTAGTTTCCATAAGGACCGTTTTATTGACATACACTCTTTTTTTTTTATAAGAACCTTTTTTATAAGAACGTTGAGGCTGAGATTGACCCAAATTTTAAGAACGTATTAAGAACATTCCTCAGGCTGAGAGTAGATTAAGAATGTTTTTATTTTTCTCACTGTACATTAAACGACAGGCAAAAAAATAAATGTACAAAAATGTAAATTGACCCAAATACTAAAGGGCATTTTTGTGTAACAAAGGTTTTCATTGCATGGTTCTTATAATGTTCCAAAAACGCCATCAAGTTTCAACGCCATCAAGACCGTTTTATTGACATAAATCGTTAAAAAATGAGTTCAGCCTCGGCATCAAAATAAAAAAAAAAAAAAGTTTCTTTCTTCTTGATTCGTGCCAGCAACATGAAATGTACAGTCCTGTGTCGGGACAAGAAATCGATAATTTTTATTTCATTCATTAATGTGATGTGTTGTTAAATATAAGTCTCTTATCAGCATCATCATCATCATCATTAGTATTATTATTTATTTTGAGCATGTATACTGTAAATGTGCACAGAAAAAAGAAGAATGGAATACAAAACAGTCTTGATACAAGTACAAAATATGCCACTGCTTGGCATGTTTCTGAACATTAGATGAGTTAACCTCATACAGTGACTTTGTTGGCGGGAGCCCAAAATGTCGCTCTTTTTAGAAGTAAATAATGTTGAATGACAACAAATGTCCTGCGGTCATTTGCTAAAAAAAACCACATAATTATTAAATAACAAAACTGCACCATTATTTTTGGAATTCGTTTGATGCGAAGTCACGTTTTAGCATAGCATATAGCGCGACATGGACCCCCTTAAGCTGTAGGCCGCGAGAAACCACCATTCAATTCTGGACATAATCGTAAACTCCCTTTCTGCACATCAAAACTTTCAGCAATAGATTTTAAATACCTCTAAACGTGATGGTCGCAAAGCATGACGGGATTGCACTAAAATCGAACAAGCAATTCATGTGGTTTAGTTGGAAAAATTGAATAAGCGCTTACCATTTGTATGGAAAACCCCGTATTTCCGGTAAGAATTCGAATGAAACAGTTCATCCCCTTGGAATTTTTCGGGTAAAAAGATATTACCTTCCGAGATACATGTTTCACCTTTTTTACCGCTTTTACCGAAACGACCAAAAATTTTCTGTACCATTGGTGTGAATTACCAGTACCACCGGGCTTTCTTCTCGCGAGAAAACCCGAAAAATTTTACCGGTATTTTGTAAATGGTACAACTCAATCCCATTCATGTTTTCGATGCGGAAAAAGATAATAATAATAATAAAAATTCCAGTACCATTCGTCGGAAAATTTTGATCGATATTTCAGTTCACGTCTTATTTTCTGTTGTTGCGTACGGAAGTTAGTCTCCCTCGCAGCCGTTTTTGTCTCGTCACGTAACGCTCCTCGCACGTAACGCTCTTCCTCAACATGAGGAGGAGGAGTAGGATATTGGGGAGGAGCGTTGCGTGACGAGAAACGGCTGGAATGGAGACTATATGGAAATAGACCAGTCTATTAATTATAAGATTAATATTAATATCATTCTATGTTAATGATGATAACACGACACGATCTTGCTCTCCATTTACCATCAGGGATGATTTTTTTAAAATATCTACGTTTGTTTTTCTGCCTTAATGTTAAGCGAGCGAAACCCACTTAGCATTACATTTCCTGAATTTGAAACATACATTACTGCTCAGCAGTTTAATCTATCCTTTTTTGACGTTTACCTCCGGTTCAAAACCACGATTTTGTCGAGATTTTCATACAAGTTAGAATAATAAATGTATGGTTGCGATAATTCCTCATTGTTTTTGTATGTTTTTGCGACCATGATATATTTTGAAGCCGAATATTTATATTTTGAAGCAGATGTCTCTTAAAAAACACCTGCCATTTAACCACTTCGTTTGAACTTACTCAGCACGTACTTAGCAATATATTTTTTAACCTCGTGTGATTTACAAGATATCGCTACAAAAAGCTACAGTTTGATTGTTCACAACACGAGAAGCCTCGTCTATCATTGATTGATTGTTTTTGGAAATTTGTTTTAATCATTTTTCCGATAAGCTATAGCTTGACTCAGCGACCTGGTCACGCACGTCTTAAAGAAGATTAAGAATTGTTTACATTTGGTTGAAAATGTGCTAACTGTCTCCTAGTGATACACTTTGAGTTTCCAACACATCTCCATTTTAAGTTTCGTGCATTGATCACGATGAAACTTGGTCTTTTAATATACCGCCTGTATTCAGTCCAGAAACCAAGCTGAACCATTTATTTAATGTATTATTAATAAGAAATAATACAGCTTCAGCTTTGCTTAGTATGTAAGGCAAGAACTGGAAATTTATTTTATTTTATCGTTAAATCTTCTGTAGAACATTTTAAAAACTTTCCTTTGGAAACCTGTGCAAGGATATTTAATTTAGATTGTCAGATTTAGTTGAGATTCATATCTGCAACTGACTTTATATTTTTTACGATTGGAAGAATAAACCCTTAGCAAAATCGGCGACCTTTGTCAAAATTTTGGTGATATTTACAAACGAAAAAATTTGTGAGGATTTTAAAGGACCTTTCGAGTTTTCAAACGTATGTTTAGTTTTTCGGCATATGCAAATTCAAACGACAAGCGATATTTGCTGCTATACTCGCTTGACACCTGTTCCGTTTTTTGAAGACTTCTGCGTGTTAGTCTGAGGACCAATAAAATGTCCAATCGATTGTTAAGGTATTATATGTTTTGCTCACGTTTTCACTTGTGAAATTTACTTAATAATTTTTTGTTGCCATGATGCGGACATCTTCGATAATCTCGTTTCTCCTGGCTGGTTCAGTATTCCAGACGGCTTACGAATAAGACATAAAGACGTAAAGTTATTGAATGGTATAGTTTTTTTTTTTCAAAATAAGGTAGGTCCACAGAATATTTTACACTGAGATCCAGACATTTATTCACTGTCATTTGCACTTTCTACTTACGCTTTCTAATTTATGGCTGTAATTTGTAAGTATAACACATATTCCGAATTTCCTTTATTAGCTTTGATGCAATTGTTGTTTTAAGCTGGCGCTACAGACGTTCATTCCGTGTAAGGACGATTTTTGATTTGCGCAAGGTCGACTGAAGTGGGCGACAAGCGGAAGCAGACAAGTTTCCACCGCTGTTGACTAGCTCAAGTTTTAAAATTAGCTTGAAAAATAACAACTGATAACGGAGCGAATCATTGCGTAAAAAAAATTTACGAGCACTGTCACAAAGTGTTCGCTTTTAGAGCAGAATTGTTATTTCGCGAAAACTGTCAGTGAAAAATTGATGAGCAGAAGATACCGCTCGAATCCATTTGACAAGAATCAACGCAAACGTTATCAGGACAAGACTACCGAATATATCTGAAAGTGTGCAGATTCAGCCCATTTTGAATGGTCAAGACCGTGAACTAACACAGCTGCTGGAAAAAAAAATAAGCATTTCTCTTAAACCCTTCAGTGGTTAGATTTATGTTGTGATAAGCAAAAGCGTTGTGCCATTGTAATTATTGAAAATAACAACACTACACCTGATAATTATCAGGTCACTTTCTTTCATGTACGTTGCAATTTATTCGAAAGTGATGATTCATAATGCGATGATTAACATTGGGGAAAACAAATTTACCCGCTGTGTTTAAGAGGGATTGTTTTGTGGTCACGGAAGTCGCTAAAATCTCCAACAAATGTGGGGTGGTTTTCATTAGAAAACGTCTTGGCGTATAAAACTAGCTTTTATTAAAAGTAATCACACCTCCATATTCCACTTTGTAAGGTGCTCGGCACTGTTCTTTTCCATTTAAACTTTACCAAAAGAATACCACTTGTAGAAGTATTATTTCATAGCCCGTTGGTCTTCTTTGGGTGGTAGTAGGGGTAGTGTTGGAAATAGTAGCGATGTCTTAAGATACAAACTCTAGCACAGACGTAAATTTAGAAATCCAAAGAATATATTCGCAAGAAGAAGCTACAAAAAACAGTTCAAACTGGTTATTTTGTGCCAACTAAAAACTGAGTTAGGGCTTTCCACAATGGCAACTGAGGGAGAGTCGACTGTATAATCGTCGTCATTATCAAATTCTCCGTGAAAACATTAGTCGGAAGGTTTCACTCCGATTTGTGCGAGTTATAATTTTGCGTGAAGTATCGGTGTATTTTTTTAGGTTCGTCACACTGATTTCTGGCCTGCGGTCTGATTCATTGGAAAACACGCAGTATTATTACTTTAATTGTCATGTATACATACGGCAAGTGTGTTTACATCATATTGACAATTATGCCTTACTTTTGCGCAAATGCACCGAAAACCGAGATGATTTTTATTGTTATTTTCTTTTCATTACGACTGAAACAAGAAGCAATATACGCGCCTGTTTGGCACACTGGTGATTAGGTGATGCATGTAGCACAGGCCTAATTGCTAATACCGGGGTAACTTTGAATATAAGGTGGAACTGAGTATTGGCGTTGAAATGATAAATTATGTACTGACCTAAGTGCTGCCCCTTTTACTACCGAAGATGGCTAAAGTCCAAATTCAGCAAAATTGCGAAATAAGATGTTGAAAAATGCAAATAGTGCCATGTGACAGTAATGCTGAAGAGATTTCTTTTGAATGGTCACACCATAGGATTTCATCCACAGACTCGAAAGTTAAAACTACATACGAAACAAATAATACCATGTGAAAGTCCGGCTGAAGAGGTTTCTTTTGAATGGTCACACTATAGGATTTCATCCACAGACTGGAAAGTTAAAACCACATACGAAACAAATAATACCATGCGAAAGTCCGGCTGAAGAGGTTTCTTTTGAATGGTCACACTATAGGATTTCATCCACAGACTGGAAAGTTAAAACCACATACGAAACAAATAATACCATGCGAAAGTCCGGCTGAAGAGGTTTCATTTGAATGGTCACACCATAGGATTTCATCCACAGACTCGAAAGTTAAAACTACATACTAAACAAATAATACCATGTGAAAGTCCGGCTGAAGAGGTTTCGTTTGAATGGTCACACCATAGGATTTCATCCACAGACTCAAAAGTTAAAACTATGTACAAAACAAATAGCACCATGTGAAAGTACAGCTGAAGAGGTTTCATTTAAATGGTCACATTATAAGAATAGGTCACTTGCACTAAGAGGTCACGTGACCAATGCTTCCTTTAAACAGTGAGTTGGAATCTTGCTGATGCCAAAAATTGACGGAGCACATAAAAATTATCTTACACCCAAAATTTGAGAGGAAACGCATTTAAGGGAGACATTTTATGAAACTTTGAACTTTCAACAAAGGAGTATCATTTGTATTGGCCGTCATGTTGGAGGGCATACTCTTGCCCTCCAACATGGCGGCCAGAACTGCTTTTTGCGTAGATCTTGTTAACGTTTGATAGTTACGCTCAGATGTGTTGTAAACGTTCCCACACCACCTTTTCAACATTTTTCTTGACGTTTAAGCGCAAAATATGTGTTCGGAAAGAGCTAATTCATAATGTTAAAAATCACATTCACATAATCGTTTTTGAAGAAAAAATCACATAACTTTCATTTTCACAAAAACGATGTCACATGACCTCTTAGTGCAAATGGCTTATTCATCCACAGAATCAAAAGTTAGAACTACATTCTAAATAAATAAAATAGTACCATTTGAAAGTATTGCTGAAGAGCGTGTAAAGCTAAAAGAGGTTTTACGTGAATGGTCATACCGTAGGGTTCTGTTCAAAGACTCCAAAGTTAGAACACCTTATTAGAGACTCTATCATTTAGCTCTAGTCGTGGACGGGTTAAAGCTAGCATTGTAGTCGTAGCGCTAAGACATGCCATTATCCAGAAATCAATATGGTCTCCACCAACGAAAGGAAACCTTTGACCGTTGATACATTCCCTTCTTGCTGGGGTAAACTAAGTTCTTCCAGTCGAACTGCGGGACATAGTTTAGAAAAAACTATTTGCTGATTAGACTTGTTATTTTTGCAAAACCTCACAATGCGAATGTCTCAAGTGATCATTACCAAGTGCGCATGCACACGATCATACATCCAGTTAATTTGAGATTTTATCCAGGTATATGGTACTGTGATTTCACGCTAACACTTGCGAGCAAAATTGACAGCATATGTTAATACAGGGTAGCCAGTTGCTCTTGCGTCCTGTCGCCATCACTAGAATTTCTTATGCTTATTTTCCCCATTTTTACGGCTTTGTTTTTCTTTCCACCTTCGTCATCATTCTTTCCTTGACGTCAGTGACAGTTTGCCTGCACACGTTAAAAATTTTCCGTTTTTATTCTGCTATGACGAGGGAATTACTTTTAGGACAAACTAAAAGGAGTTTTATGCGCGATGAAAATTTTGCATTCAGCTTATAGAAGTACCCAAGAGTGATTAAAGAATCATATCTGCCAATAGAATACAAAATGGGCGAAAAAAACGGCTGTCGCTTACGAGGGCGATATTTCGTCAAGTGTCACGTGACTGAGCAACATACGATTTTTTATTTTTTGATTTAAGCGGGGGCCGGCCTCTCAGGCCTCTCTGGAGACACTACTGTGAACGAGATCGCGATACGCCGATCACCCTACGTGTTTCGCTAAGTTTGCGTGATAACTGAAGTTATTGATCAAGTGTACTAAGGAATATGTTACCCCAGGGTTGGCGAAGTACTGTCAGTGTCTGACTTGTCGACCGATATTGTCTAGGCGAATGTCGTTTTTAGAATGTATGAGCCGGTTTGTTTACCGGGATTTAGGCCCAGCGATACGAAGGTAATCAATTATTCAAACTCTCAAAATAGATGTCAGTTAAAGTCTCGGGGCTTCAATGAATCTCCCTGGGATGAATAACTTAATATTTTATTAAATAGTTTTTCTAATTCCTTTCGATGATCTGTGCATATTTCGCCCACTACTGTTTTTAACGGCGTGATGAAAGGTAGCCTTGTGAAAAAGAAAACCGCACTCCTAGTAAGGTCCATTAGCAGTGGTGGTGTCGTGTGTTTTGACAACTAAGCAATGAGTATAGTCTAAGTGCGCCAAACCGCAGAACCTTGAGACGTTGGCTGCATATGAATATTTGACTTACTCTGTCGAGTTTTTTCCAACTTCTTGTCCGTGGCATATCGCGGTCAGTTGTAGGTTAACGCAGGGATGGTAAGATATATCTTGTGGTTAAAGAACGGAGAGGTCTTCTAGCTTACCTTAAAACACCACATTTATCTTCTTTATCAGAAGCTTCACCAAGACCGCACCGAAGTCTCTTTTTTTTTCGTTTCGGAAATGTTTGGAAGTTAAATGCTTATCGATTTCGAGGATTCAAATAAGTAAATGTCATGCCCAATACGGCGACTGTCAAACGTAGTGTTCGTTTAATATTTGCCATTTGCGCCGAGGTTAGCTTTCCGAGAGCGCTCTACAAGCATTTACACTGTACTCATTGTTTAATTTTTGACTCATTTTCATTGCACTCTAATATGACATTGTTTACTTCTTGCAGATTATGGCAGCGTTCAAAAGATGGCGTTCGAAATACAAGCGTTACAAGAGCCAAATACCTGCGCAAATGAGAAACAGGATAATCTTACATTATGGACTGTTTAAAATAACCTGGGATTGGGTGATCCTTATAATGGTGCTCTACACAGCCATAGAGGTGCCTTTCGTCTCCGCATTTGTGTTAACACCAAAACCTGATGACGAACAACTTGGAGATAATGCAACAAGCAAAAGTAAGCTACCAAATTTAAATATGATGACTTGAGTGTTTCCCACAGAATTAGATCTCTAAGCCGTTACGGGTAAAGAATTGTTTCATTCCCCGACACTCGGAGAGCCAAATATGGAGCTACTTCGAGCATTCTGAGTGCGCAAACGAAATCTTGTGATGTGACAATTCATATCGGAAACCTCCACACAAGCTGCAGTTTCACATGCTATTCACTCTTTTTTTGTAAATTTTTTGAAATAAATAAATGAGGCTTGAACGGGATTTTATAGACAGTTCATTCTAAACATTTTGAACTTGAAACTTAAGTCACGGTGACGCCTTCAAGTCGTCGATCGATTTTGTCTCGCCGACCGGTTTTACCATGCTTGCCACTAGATTTTCGTTAATGATACAAATTTTTCTCCAGTTTCATTCAGGGAAATATCTGTTGGAAACTAAACTGAATACATTATGAAACAATTGATAGTTTTGCACCTTGAGAAACAATTTTCAATTGACATTTCTTTTGCGAATAAGCTCACCATGACTCTATTCCGTCCAGTTTCAGTTTGAAAGTCGGGTGTTAGTTCTTGTGTTTTGTTGTTGTCGGTTTGTCTTTTTTGCTATATACAGCGATTGAAATGGGTTGGCAAGCAAGTAGACTCTCCGCGGAGTCGGGCTCTATCTTTCCTATAGTTATCATATGTCAGTAGTGAAAGATAAGGAGGCTGGAAGAGTACCCAGGGGTCGACGACTGTCTAGCTCAAAAATGTTAAGCCGATTCAGTATGCTTTACACTAAATGGCAACAATCTTGTGTAAAATGTGCTGGGGAAAAATAAAATCGTTGTCGACCATTCTTGAGACTGTAATATAATCCTCGATTTTTTGTGTTGGCTTACGACCACTAACTTGTAGGTATCTTTCTAAATTAGCGCCGCATGTTTACGACCTAAATTATTCATCCTCTGCCTTAATACCATTTACGTGAATGGTATCGCTGTGGGATTTCATTCAAAAACGTAAAGCAAGAACTATCCACTCTTCACAGCACCACAGGGAAGGACTGATCAGTGACCATCATTTGAATGGTCATACGACAAGATTTTATCTGCACCGACTCTGAGATTAGAAACACACTGAACACACATTAAGTCCGAAGTCAGAGCGAAGAAAGCTATATATAGGAAGCTTAATTTGCATGGACATCCGGTTTTTTGAATACAACCTGAAAGATAAGCTTTAATTTTCGTCACAGTTTTAGCAAAAGAATTGTGGTTCACAATGAGGCATTACTTTTTTAAACAAACTGACAAGACTGTGAAAGAATTAACAAAGAAAGGACTATTTCAAAAGCATTTTCAATAAACGTGTTGTTTTATGAAACGTTAATCGTTGCAGGTGAAAAGTGTTTTATTGTAGAAACTTAATGAATCGTCGTTAATAACCGATATTAGTGACATCTTTTTTAATCGTAGTTTTTATTAGTTTTTGATAACAACTTTGCCGAAACTTGCTTGTGAAGCACTTTGTTTTTCATTTTTACTTGGAAATAAGAAAAGCTTTGGTTTCTGTTACAATGAAAAAGGCCCGGTCAAATATCACTTAAAGCACTTTACAGCACTATTGTTTGTATTTTAATTACAAATTTTTAACTAAGCATGTGAAAATTTTGTCGAATAGCAACTTAAAGTTTTTTGTTAACTTTCTTGGCATATCATTTTGAAAAAAAAAAAAATACTGATTTGACATTTAAAATATGAAAAAAATATTATAGCTAATAACCTTCATTTTAAGCATGTAAGCTTACAAAATATTATCATATACGTTGTGTGTTCCCTCTTTTATGCGGTGTAAATTTGCATTAGGCATTTAGAGATAAACAGTCGCCCTTAGTTATGAGCTCATTACTAAAGCATTTCCTTTGTCTCACAACAGAATTTTTCGACTCTTACTAGCCGCTACGCATTTCACTTGAAAGTAGGAAACGACGGTTATAAGATGCAGTCAATCTATCTTATCTGAAATCTTGATTTTATTTTGAGCTGCCTAATTACAACTGTTTTTATATAGTCAGGGCATTGCCACCTGCGCCTGGCTCGGTACCCTTTACAAAATGTTAATGAAATAATGCCACACGCAATATGGCTTAAAACTTAAAGGTTTCATCATGCCTGAAAATCGTGCCGTGTTGGGGTGATTATGGCTTCAAGAAAGGCGCTGTCAGGCCTCCGAAAAAATAGAAACCTGACTGGCATAATCCCTCTTATTAATGGGTGACCCATATCGACCAGTCGTATATTTCACAACTATTAACTGCTATGGAGGGGGAGACCTTCTTAGAAAAACGCGGGGAGGGTAAAGATGTAGGATGGCAGGATTTTTTTGTTTTTGTTTTGTTTAGATTAGGGGGAGGGGGAAGGGATATCCAAGTAATACGGTCCCCCCACCCCCCCTGTACGTACCGAGGCACAGATCACGTACAACAAAAGAAACGTACAAGAAAGCCAAACTATGAAGCTCCTATGAGAACTGTATTGCTTTTGTGATGGCGGTACCTGCAGAAAGACCCGGAATACATCTTTGGGGGGTGGGGAGAGAATAGAGACCCAAAGGAAAGACGTTTTTCGAGCGACGCACTTCAAGCGGAAGAGTGGGTTTTGTATTCTTTGCCAGTTAGTTTTGCCCAAATTTTCAGACAATTCGTCTCTTTACGATTGAAGACGCTTGAACAATAAAATTGGGCATTTTCAGGCATAAGGGAAATGGCCTTACTTTTGAGTGACGTGTGTCGCTTAATAACGCATTTGCTTTTACCGAAATAAACTAAACTACCCACGTTTTCAAAAGAAGTTTCATTCAAGGAATGCCCTGCTTAACAACATCGTTGGTACAAACCAGACATTTCGATGGTGAACCGTCTTGCTCAGTGGTTTAAAAGCGCTCACCAAGCGTTTTTTTCAAAACCTGCAGATCACAAAATACTAGCCTGAGAAAACAGACAGTATTTTGCGACGCCACCGACAGTTTACCCGCGAAATGACGTCTGAGAAACGAGCGCAGAAATTCCATACTGATGGCGCGTCACTACCCAGATCTGGGTAGTGCTTCTGATTGGTTAAAGCAAATTTCCCAGGCCTTACGACCAATGGACCGTTGGTGGCGTCTCAAAATGTCGTCTGTTTTTTCAGGCTAAAAATACTGGCTAACATGCCTATTGCAGATAATTAATGGCATTCGGCTTGATATTTACGCTAAAGTATTCATTTTGATGAAAATTCGTGTTATGTTTCAAGGTAACTGAAACTTATCATACACAAAACCATCCATAAAAACATGGGGAAATTAAGTAAAAACTACGATAATATTGTACCAGACACACACAAAAAACTATAACATGACAACGACGAGACAACTTCGTTCCCAGGCCTTCTCCTATTCACAGAAAGACGAGGGGTCCTGGGTCGAGGTTGGAGTGACAAAAAATCCGTTCGCTACGTAGCCTATTCCTGGCTTTTTTCGCTGCTCGCTCCCTTTATTCATCCATCCACACTGACCGGCAGCCTGCACAGGCTAGTAGCTACGCCATGGCATTTTAGTTTGATATATTGTCATGTTTATTATCTATGCAGATGCCGATTCAAGTCTGGGTTATTTTGAGTCAATCAAACGTCGGAATCCTGAGGCCTACCCGCTTCTCTACACAGATCTCATCATAGACTTTCTTTTTATGATCGACATTTTGATGAATTTCCGCACCACTTACGTCAAAGAGGGCGAGGTGCTGATTACGAATCCATGGAAGATCGCTGTTCATTACTTAAAGACTTATTTTGTGGTGGATTTGGTAGCCGCTATTCCCTGGGATCTGCTGGCCAGTTTCAACTCGGGGACAGAGGAGGTCAGTAGGTCAAGACCTTAATGCGATTTTTCTTATTTTTGCTGAAATTTGAGAAAAACCCTCGTATTTATGTATGTTATTTAACAGAAAGGTCAGGGCCAGGGTGCATAAAGCCTTCTTAAAGGGAACCTCCACTCTTACTACAGAATAAGTTTAAATCGAATAAAATTATGTTGATAAACAAATTTGTTCGAAATTTGTCCTAAAAAAAGTGTTTATATCAGGAAAAGTGAATTTTAAAATCGCTTATTTTCACTTTCAAATTTCGCGGGCGCCGCCATCTTGAATAATTGTGACGTGTTACGGTTGCTCTATTGTTCTGACACAAAGAGCTTTTGTTTAATAACAATAGGGCAACCATTACACGTCACAATTATTCAAGATGGCGACGCCCGCAAAATTTGAAAACAAAAATAGGCGAATCTAAAAGTTATTTCTTTCGGAGACAAACGCTTTCTTTAAAAATATTTTAGATTGACTTGACTGTAACAGTTATTTCCTGTGATTTAAAGTTATCTGTTTGTTGAAGTGGAGGTTCCCTTTAAGATAAGAGGGCTCTTAACTTTTGTTCTGGAACAATAACCTATTATTTTGAAATAATAGTTACGAGTTCCCTTTATCTTAAGGTGGTTTTTACAACCCGACCCAGGCACTCACGGTACTGTCCTTACTTTCCTTCCTTCCTTACGTTCTGTTATATAAAAGTGACCCCTTAACACAGGTTTGTTGTTGCATAAAATATGAACTAAATATGTGCGAGGGAAATCTAGAGGAGGCAGAGAGGCAGAGCGGTTAGAGCGTTGGACTTGCAATTCGGAAGCCAAGTCCAGCTCTGACCACTAGCTGGATTTATTCACGGTAGCTAGTCCCGAGTTCAAATCCTCGACCACGCTTGTAAATAGCCAGCTGGTTTGCCTCTGGCCAGTTGGGATTCTTAACCCTGTTACGTTTGATTATATTATTTGAATCATTTGTTTCGGTCATTTTCTCGTCCCCACTAGCATAAATACTATAATTACTGCCGAGGGTCAATAAAGGAATTAATTAATTATTAAATAATTAGATGAGGTGAAATAGGTATAAATAGTTATTTAGGTGACAAAGTGGAGATGTGGGAGCAGGTTTCCTAGTAATTCATACATTGCTTTTCAAACCGATCTATTTTAATTAAATCGACAATTTTCCTTCGCTACTGTTTTTACGTACCCTATCATATGACAGCGTGCGAGGCTTCTTAGAACACAATACGTTTTGGCTGTCAAGTAAACCGTTGGATAGTGGAAGAAGTAGAGACGCGGGAAACGAACTAGTCGAGCATGAAACGTTGAGGTGGCGAAAACTGGGCACTGTTTGTTAAGTTCTAAACTTTGACTTCGTATTGTGTGCGATTATACTTCCTGTTGACTTTACCGTAGTAATAAGTTTGCCCTGGTACTAATAAAATTGGCCATGACTGGCCGGAAAGAAATAATATGCAATGGGTTATCTTACCTTTATGAAAAACGGAGCGGTGATTCGCTGTTTGGTGTCTGAATCAACTAGTATAAATGTACCTTTTTCCGTTTTCATCGGCCTAAATTCGAATTCGGCTTACGCAAATGTACGACGTTTGTAATGGGCCCCAAGAATCACTTAAACTGCAACACTTATCTTTCAACCGTTAATACTGCTCCTTTCTCTTGATTTTGCCAGAACACAATGTTATTTAGTCTTCTGAAGACGGCTCGCTTACTAAGGCTGTTTCGTGCCGCAAGGAAACTGGATCGAAACTACGAGTACATGACGTCCCTTTTATTTTTAATGATCGTGTTTTTTATGCTGGTTGCTCATTGGCTAGCTTGCATTTGGTATGCAATCGGTAAAGAAGAAGCCGCAAAGTACGACGGATTATCGTGGCTCAGTATTCTAAAATATCAAATGGACGTGCCAATGGCTGAAGAAAACGACGACCCGTCTGCCATGATCAGCCTCCGGACACGGTATCTGACGTCACTATATTACGTCATGACCCTGTGCACTACTGTAGGGTTTGGAAATGTTTCGGCAAATACAGACGCCGAAAGGATTTTCTCTATTTGCTGTATGCTTATGGGAGGTTAGTCGTTGCTTTTGTTCTTTCTTTATGAAAATTATCAATGCCAGTTCTCAACCGCATCCAAAGGCCAAAGAGTCTAGCCTGAGAAGACAACCGACATTCCGCGGCGTCACCAAAGGTTTTCCGTCAAAATGACGTCTGAGAAACGAATGCAGAAATTCCTTGCTGATGACGTGTCACTACCCAGGACTGTTAAAAGTGTTTGATTGGTTGAAGCAAGTTTCTATCGCGTCACGACCAATCAGAAGCACTGCTCAGATATGGGTAGTGACACGTCATCACTATTGAATTTTTGCTTTCCTTCCTCAGACGTCATTTTGCGGGAAGACTAGTGGTGGGGTCGCGAAATGTCGGCTATTTTCTCAGGGTACAAAGACCCTAACCAGACAAGGTCGTCTTTTTGATGACGGTAGGGCCTGGGGGAGTGGACTATGCAGACATCGAAAAGATAGCAAGACTTTTTTTATTTTTAATCAACTTTGGGTTTTCGTTTTTGTTATAAGAGGGAGTTAAAAAAAATCATAGTCTTCCACTATATATTTGGTTTTGTAATGCAGTCGATTACAGTACAAACCCGCGTTTAAGAACCCACATTTTAAGTCAGCCAAAATAGGTTCTTTTTAGGGGGGATGGTTGTTTTAATTTTGGTATTTTGGGCTAAGTAGGTTCTCACTTAAGGTTCCTAATGTCTGTACGAAGGAGACGTAGTGTATTTGCTTACCAGAAAAATTAGTGATCTTGGGTTTGGCACTTAATTTACAGTCTTTTTCACAACTGTATTACGATAAGCTTCAAATAACTGATTAGAGCGTAAGGTGCATATCTAGTGGTACAACAATTTCTTGTTATAGAAATTTGTAATCTCAAAGTCAAATTCCTCGGTTAAAATTTTTATTATAATATAACTGCAACGGTAATCCTCATACAAGAACCTGCTTGATCTGGCTTGGGTTAACAGGTTCTTATACTTTTGGTTATGAACATGGCAAATGTCTGCCAGCAGGTTAAACCACTTTCATACACGGGTGTTTTTACTGTATTTTGTTTCCTTTTTTTTAGCTGTGATGCACGCAGCCATATTTGGTAATGTGACAGCCATCATTCACGGTCAGTATTCCAGTAACTTCCGGTATAGGAAGGAGTCTCTTCAAATAAACGAATTCGTTCGTTATTTCAAGATTAAGAACCCGCTTGCTCGTAGGCTCAGGGATTACTCACGTCACACGTGGTCCCAAACCAAGGGAACAGATATGGCCAAGGTGAGTATCATGTGATCAGAAATACTTCCGAGGAGCGCTAACTCGTGTTCAGTAGTGGAAAGTGCAAATTTCTTTAAACGTAAGGTGTAAAGACTTTCACATAGGAAAATTACCTGACAGTTAATATTCGCACCCTAGAGCAACTAAACAACTTAAAGATGAATGTCCACCGTTTCATAATATTTTATGCCGATACAAACGCTGTACTATAGAATAATAAATAGAAGCAGATGATACAAAATTTGCAATTATTGGATGAGGCTGAAAATGCCTTTGTAACGGCTTCGGCGGATAACATCCTCCGATATCTGCTTAGTTCTTCCGAGATCATTCGTCATAAGTCAGGGGATTTGACGCAATTAGAAACGGGGAAATGTTTTAATAATAACTGAAATTTGAATAGTCTCTCTAAAGTATTTTACCCACTCGAATAAACTGAAGGACAGGAACAACAATAACAACAAAAGCGGAACATAGCTAATCAGCTTGCAAAGTTAATACGATACCAGAAATCTCAGTAAACAATCACGCAGCTGTTGTACCTTGTGGATAACTAAAGGTTAAACTTAAAGCCATTTTAGCGAAAGCGACATTTACCTCTCCAGCCACATAATTATTCAAGTGTTGTAGCGTCGATTCACTTTTTAATTCCATAAGGTGCACAAAACGCTGTCTCTGAAGAGAGACCACATTTTCGTTTCTCGCAGGTTATGGAAAAGTTCCCCGATGGTCTACAGTACGAAATCCATCTTCATATGCACCTGACTGTTTTATCTGATTCGTTTCTGTTCAACTGTTTTGACGACAGCTGTTTGAGAGCGCTAGCAAAAAAAATGCATCGGCACCATCATCTTCCTGGACACCAGATTCTACACGAAGGTGATGACATCGATTCCGTGCATCTCGTGAGAAGAGGAAAGATTGACATCATGGTGCACAACAAACAGTGTGGAACGATAAGTGAGTCTTACCTCTTAAAATTAGCCATAGCTTGCACGGTAGTGCATCCTGAGCAACATTCGTTTCCTTTTCAAAGTGTGCAATGTGCGAGAGCATGGAGCAATGTGGAAGGGAAGGGGAATTGGAGAAGAAGGAAGGGCGCGTGCTTTGTCGCGCTTTCGGATGAAAAGGACTGGAATCAGGTTACATTTAGAAGGCTTTTCTTGATTGTTATTGGTGGGGGGTTGGAATCCACTGGTATTTCCGCCGTCCTTTAACCTCAGTCATACTTTGTTTAGCCCTTCGAAGCTTCCAAACAAATTAACATCTGTTCTACCTCCCCTGCAGGGCTTCCCAAAATGTCGTACCCCTCTAAATTTCTGCTTTCCCTCTCAAGGTCATAATAGATTAAGCGCCCCCCCCCTTGAAGGCTCCATAGGCTCAAACGTCAAATAGGTATCACAGAAAGGTAGTGCTGAATTACTGTTATCTAAAGGGCGACCTGGGCAAAAAATAAAACCAATTATTATTCATTCAAAATATTTCCCCGATTCTGATTGGCTTAAAGCACACGCATAATTCACCATAACCAGTTACTGATGACCAAATTGCAATAATTTTGTGTTTAACGAGGAAATGACGTCAAAAATGCAGCGTTCTTGCAGGTTAATGCACCGTTAACTGAGAAGACCTGTTGACGAGGTTAAGTTGTTTTAGATGTGAAAACAAAAAATGGCGGACATTTCACTCGTTTCAAGAGTAAGAACTAGGCGAAATTATAGCTAAAAACATGGCAAGAGCACAACTCGAAGGGCGACATCTGCTATTTGGGCAATATTTGCGGAGCTGAACAACCCTAAACGTGCACTATCGAAGGTGAACTTAACATCGATGGAGGTAAGCATGTTTTAGCTTTGGTTTTAAACTAGGAATTATTTTGAATGAATAATAGAACAATTATTGAATTCGGCTTGCGTATCATATGAAGAATAATGGAGATCTCGGAGGGTGTTATCCACCTCGGCCTACGGCCTCGACGGATAACACCCTCCTCGATCTCCATAATTCTTCATAAGATACTCAGTCTCATTCATTAATTGTTAAATATGTCATGCGTAACCGTCTTTATCCTTTGTCTCTTCTAGGGGAAGGTGACGCATATGGGGCTAGTTTAAGGCAAATTTCATCCCGCCCAAGGGCTAAAGTTGCCTTGCGAGCATCTACTTGTGTGGACTGTCACGTGATCAAGCTTAAAGACCTTGATGATGTCTTGCAGTCATACCGTGATCTGCGTACGCAGCTGCTAGAAACAATGGATGCTGCTCACCAAAATGATTTATACGATGAGGTAGTTCAATCATATTTGTCACGATTTCCCTTTCCCCTTGTTTTCGCTGCGTTTTACAATCTTGCAAAGCCTATAATAGATAGTTAGGTTTTGTCCACTTGCAGACCGACGGATTAAACGCTTTTCACCAGTTGCCCTAATATGTCACACTTCTATTTATGGCGAGACAACAACTGCTAAATTCTCCTGAAAAGGAAAAAAAAAATTGGTCGATATCCTGTGAGATAAGGGGTTTAGTCCCTGTTCGCTTTTCCCCGTTTATTGTTAGAACTTCGGGGTCATTCTTAGGGGAACGGAGATGACTTTGTCACCGTATATTGTTATCTGGAATCCAAGACTGTCTTGTTTTACCGTACATGGGGAGACTTTGATGTAGTTAGAGGGAGCATGTTTTAGGTGGAAAGAGTTGAGAAGATTAAAATGTCAAGCGACCGGTTTCGAGCTGACGTTTCTCGAAAATGTTCGTGGAAACAGTGACCTGCGTGTAGTACTCTTCCATTTTCGACGACGCAGATGTCTTTGCGGAACGCAAAAGTTATGGCGGGGGCAGTTAATGTTAAAAAAGCTTGGCTAACGATTGAGTGCTTTATGATTTAACTGTAGTCACAAAATTGGTTTTTAGAGTTCTTTTGGTTCTTTTACAGGATTTTACGAATGGGAACATCTATGAAGCAAACAAGAACGGCTCAAAACCTGGTGCGAAGCGGAAAAATACGTGTACGCACAAGAAAACCGCTTAATTTCGGATCAGCAATACGAAATGAAACCCATGCTCGGTGTGCGAAGCAGTAAATTAATAGAAAAGGCGCCTTCTCTTGGCTCCAGAGAAAGAGTCGGGAACGGGGACCTTAAAAAATACAAGAGCGTATTGTCAGTTGACAATTCAACAGAACTTGCTGGACGCTTTATCAATGTAACACAGTTAGCTGACTTAGGTGCTACTGTTAATGATGAAAATGAACAAATTATAGAACTGACAGTTGAGGAAGAGGAGAATGCTGGCGAGGGGGACCTAAGAGAAGAGGCCCCACAGCATAAACTCAGTGTTGCTAAATCGATTTGCGCCGATTGCAAAACTCAATTTCAACGTGATCAGACCGAAGATTTAGAAGAACGTATGGAGAAAATGACATTGAATATGCAGAGACTAGAGAGTCGAATGGAAACTCTGATAGGTCTACTTGAAAGGAGTGGAATTCCTAACACATCTGCTGGCCAGGAAACAGGCTCATGCCAATTTAGAGAACGCACAACTTCAGTCTAACATGGAATCATGAAAATGATCTGGGGAAAGAGAGTGCATGTAACTTGGGTCTGCAGATCCTGGCACAAACCCAACAATTCGGTCACTAAGGATCGAGGCTAGAGATGCAACACAGCACATGGAAATCCCAGGTCAAACAGTCGCGGCATGAGAGAATGTTGTGATTATTCCGGTTTTAATGGTCACGACTCACATCTGATCACGGTACCTTGCGGTGGCAAATTTTTACATGCGTTAAAGGCGACGTATGAAAAGGTGGCCTGCAAACGTACAAGCTTAGCGAGCAGAGTTTCAATTTTTACGTTTATATTACGCGCGATCTCCCACGGACATTACCTCTATTTTATATATGCGCGTAAGAATTACGCGACAGTGGAAATACACCTTTACTTTCAAACCCATAACAATAAAATTACATCGACCGAAAAGTAAGGGTCGGTCATTTAAACGTGGTCTAACGTAGACCGTGGTTTAAGAAATCTTTGGACCTCCAGATCTTTTTAGTGGGTCAATTTAAGAAGTTAAATGCTTTTCTAGTCCACACTATATGCTTTAATGAAACTGTTCGCGACAAATGGTGCTTAGAAAAAAGGATTGTGCAAACTGAAAATGACTTAGAACGCGGTTTTGTTAAACACTGGTTAAACTCCGTTTAAATAACCGGCTCTAAATGATTGCATGAAAACGTTTTCCGTCTACAGTCAGAGAATGTTCGCCTTTAGTGGTATCTCTGAAAGCAGTTCAAGCGGAGAGGGTTTTCATGAAGAATGGGAGACGTTTTTTTTTTCAAATTAATTTAAATTTCCTTTAAACGTTTTTATTATATAAGCTTGGAAATAATTATTTTGTAATTAAGCATTAAAAATTGAAAGTACCGGTGACAATATCGGACAAGAATATTTCTTTAGTCGAAAGATATCACCTACAGTAGGAAAAGAGATTTTTAGCTTCTTAACGTATTTATATTACACACTTTTCCGACGCCTTTTTGTATACATCTTAACTTAATTTTATATTGTTGAAGGTTTTATAGTTTAAACAATAGCCTAACTTAGAGAAACCGTAAGAGAAGCCTTGGAAGTTTACGTGAATTCTATACACTTCTGACTGGCTCGAAGTGTAAAAAAACTATCCTTGCTGATTCAAACAGTCTGCCTAGATACTAAACATTTTGGGAGAACTGCACATCGTGTAATAACATAAAAAGAAGATATTAAATGTTTCTTGGAATACTTAGTTACTATTGTTAAAAGGACATCCGAATTTCTACCAAAAATTAATGTTAGTTTTTTAGATATATTTGAAAAAATATATTTGAATATAAATACATTTATATTTGAATATATGTCATAGTTTAAATATATTTGAAGCTGTTTATAATAGAATCTTTGGTAGATTCTTTAAAAATGCATCTCTACTTCTCATGCGATTATTATAGTTTTAGAAAACTTGTAGACCTTTGGCTATTTATTACCATTGGTAGGATTTTTTATGTGATTTACCGGAGAAGTATCTGCAATAAATATTGTGTTGAATGATTTTTTGCTGTTTAGGCACATTTTCCTATTAATTTAATTTAATACGTCACTTCCACATTTCCCATAATGCACCTTATTTGCCTCCCCCAAAATTGACCACTCCAGAAATACCATAACATACCATAATGCTCTTTGTTTGTCACCCCAAAATTTTGCATTAGCATTGTCTTCCGTTTCTCTTGGGAGTTAAAATGACCCCAAGAGAAACTGAAAACAACGCTTATGCAAAATTTTGGGATGACAAACAGAGTATTATGGTATGTTATGGTATTTTCTGGAGTGGTCAATTTTGCATGAGCATTGTTTTCAGTTTGTCTTGGGACGGCTGTAATACCCAGGAGAAAATTTTGGGGGCTAAATAAGGAGCATTATGGGAAATGTGGAGGGACATGTGGCTTTTGAGGGATAGTGAAACAAAAACTTCAAATGGAACATAACCACGGTTAAGAATTCAAACTGGTAGGAGGCGAACCAGTACTAGTCCGGCTACTTTACAACGTGGCCGAGGATCTGAACTCGGGACTACCAAGAACAAATCCAGCTAGCGGTTGGTGTGATACTTGGACTTGGGGCCTCCAGATTCCAAGTCCAGCGCTCTAACCACTCGGCCAAGCTGCCTCCGTGGCCGAGTGGTTTCAGTTTTCAGAACCCCAGTTGCAACGCGTTTTAATCTTCGTCAATGGTAATTTTTTTGTGCTTTAATTACCTGAAAAATAACACATGAATAACACTTTGCATGATCTTAGCCACATGATTTACTTTTATCGTTGAAAGAAGTTGAAAAAACTTAAATGTATTTTCACCCAAAATTGGCTTGACCACCTGCTACTTATGACGTCATATCTCGTAACCATAGCAACTGACCATGGCTAAATTTGTCTCAAAATCTGCTCGGGAAATTTGGGCTTATATATGAAATCATATCCTGAATCCAGGGCGTTGAATCCCGGAATCCAAGTTCCACTGACAAAGAATCCGAGGCCAGTACCTGAAATCCGGAATCCACCAAGTGGAATCCAGTTATCCAGAATCCTGGACTGTATTAGATTCTGGGCTTAAATTACCTTACGCGGGGCTATACATCAGTTGACAGGAACATGCAACACTCAACAGGCATCAGGGCAACAGACCGGGAAAGACGCAACAAGCAACACGCAAGAAGCAACAGGCAACTAGACGTAACTCGCAAGGATAGTCATCGAATCAGTAGAGCTGTAAGCCAGTGAGAATTCTTACCAAGATAGTTGGGCATGCGTGGAATACTAAATAAAGCTCACGATCCAGCTGTCGGAAGTCGGAAGTCGTTAGGAACGTAAGGAGTGGTAAAAAGTCAGAAGTCAGAAAATATGCCGGCACTCGAGCAGCAGAAAACCAGCTTATTTTGAGCTGGAAACCAATTAAGAAGACCCTGCTCGACTTTTGTAGTAAACAGGGTGTTTTAATGGACCGGTTAGCTTTAAAAATGACTTTTTCTTCATGCAACAATAACAACAACAACAAAAAAACAGGGCGCACCTCTACCCAAACTTCACGTTAAGTGCCCCCTCACCCCCGGATTGTTTGGATCGGGAGGATATGCCTGTCTAATTTCAAGTTTTCAATAACATTACGTCACAACATCTGATATCTGACTGTGTGCGACAGATCATATAACCTCTTCATAAGTGTAATCTGCGAGACCCAAGAAAAGATTGAACTGCGCTTTTCGCCTGGCACGCTATTTTAACCGAAAACGAGTTAGTTTGGCCTTCTTTTTCAAATCAAAATGGCTCGTTTGTTGGATTTTGTGCTGGTCTTGACGATTTCTATGGTCTATATATTCATTGTTGAAGGTGAGTTGTAGAATTTTTCTTATATTACTTCAAGATAAAGGGAGCTTTTATTTTATTTAGACGATCAAGCGCTTATGTACTGCTGTTTCAACATGGTTTCTAAAACTAGCAAAATGGAATTTTCTTCCTTTTGTAGCTAAGCCTTGCAGGACGATCGAAAACTCGTCCGTTTTCAAAACGAAATATCAAGGAAGTCTCTTTGAAATGGCAAAAAAGGCATACGATTTTTACTCGTCATGCGTTACAAATTGTTATCGCAGCGCTTTTGTGTGACAATGTGTAAACAATTTAGTTGTTTGCTGTTGAGTGCAGAGATTTTGAGAAAAAAAATGTTTCCTGCCTTTACGAATCACTGCAACATGTATACAGCTCGATGAACTAGACAGTGAAAAAATCGCGTGCATGTAATACACGTAGAAGAACGAAATATATGTATCAGCTCTTGCATAGCATGCATAGGGTGTGATAAATACTCGTATTTCCTGATCGCATCTTTGTTCCAAGGATACTTCGGAATAGTCGTAATTAATCCGTTTATTTTTAAGAAAAGCGTTTAAGTCAGATTTGCTAAGCTCTACTATAATTACACTAGGCTCTTTTACGTGTTTCGTATACGTATGGTACTCAAAAGCTGTTAAGATCACTCCTCTTCAGATGGGTGGCTACCAATGATGACATTTTTAACAATTAAATTCAAGTGTCTGAAATTCTTCTTTGTGCGATTAAAATAATTTAGGGACACGCCATCCCGCACGCCACTAGCCACTTCCTCTTCCATGTGTCTCTTATAAAACAAAATTAAGAACGTTACAACACACAATTAAAGATAAATGCTTAATTTTTTTAAGTAAAGGAGTTATTCTAATTTTAATTTTGTAACTGATAAGTAAGGAAAAGGGGGATCACCTGCTTTATGTATTTTCTTTTTGAACCCTTTTTGTAGCAACGTTGAGACTAAGATTGGCAAAAATTGAAAGAATGTGATACAGACATAGCTAAGTTAACATCACAACATAATTCAGATCAACTGCATTTTTCTTTTTTGTATTTAATGAACTATAATATAACAAATCTAAGAAAAAGATTATGTACAGGCCTTCCGATTTGGGTTGGAGTTGGAAAAGGAGAAAATCGCGCAGCCCCCCCTTTTTTTTCTCATCTCTTCTCGCCTTTTCTCCTCATTTTTCTCCCGCCAGCCTGTTAAAATGGTAACAAAAAACCTGGAGAGGGGCAAAGAGGGGCGGGGAGGGGGAGGGGGGGGATTCTACTGGGAAGCTCTACCCCTCGGTCCTACCCCTTGCTCTTGACAGAAAAAGGTGCTCGTTCGTATACCTGCTATTGACAAAATGGTACTTCTTTCACATACCTAGTTTAGAATTTTGCATCCCCTTTAACTGCTGCTGTGTGCATACGGTATTCGCCCTCTTTCGGGAATACATCCGTAAAACATTTGCTGTATTTGGAATCTCTTACAATATGTACAATATGGGAAGTTCCATGGTTACGCTTCATTCATTTGACTTATGGTCTCCGTTATTTAGATCAGATGACTTCCCTTTCTAGGACGTTCGATCTAACAGTTGAAAAATAAAATATAATTTGATCTTGTCCTCTTTATATATGTCTTTCGAGGTAAGGTTCGGTCAACTTTTCCCCCGATCTCTTAACCTCACAAAACATACAAACACACCTTTTCTGATTGGCTTCATAACCAACGGGCACCTAGTACCTTATTTGAAGATGTGCGTAATATATCATCGATTCGATGGTACATTTAATTGGAAACGAGGTTATTCGATGGCATATTTGATTGGAATCGGAGCTGCTTTGGCGTTCACGGCTATCCGAAGACAAAATATCTGCCGAATTTTTTACGAAAACTGAACGGAAGAAATGCAAGAATACGCCAAACATATTGCTGGAAGGATGTTATCTGTACTTCGAGGAGTATCTTCAAGGAAAAAAATCTCTTTATATCTTGAAACCGTGCGGAGAAATAGGCCAAAGTTTAGAAGAAAGTCCACAAGGAGGTAAGCAAGTTAAGAACTTAGAGATATCTCGGAGCTGCTATCAATCTTGGCCTTCAGCCTCGGTGGATAACATTCTCCTCGATCTGCATAACTCCTCAGCCTCATTCAATAATTGCTAACTATTTTTCGACCATATTCCAGGTACGCTGGTGTGCGTTTTCTCGCTGAACGCTTGGTTAAGGGACATTGAATTAATCACCACATGCTTATAGTAGGCAAACCTTTTTTACTTAGGGACCGGTCATTATTTATCACCTGGGGGGGTCGGAGGATTTTGGGGGGGATCACTTGATTTTTAGGAGAACAGAGGGGGGGATCAGTCGTAACTGAGAGCCCAAAAGGGGGGGATCACTGAAAATTTTGGAAGGATTCAGAGGGGGGACCACTCAAATCTGCTTGAACAATGCCAGTTTGAAAGCATACAACATAAATGTGCCCATTCTGCTGGGAGATGATAGCATTTGCAATCTCAATTTGTTCTAACACAACTTTATTTAAAAAACGGAAGTCTGTCACACTGGCGAATGTGAGCATTTCAATTTATATCGAGAAAGCTTTGTTTTAACGCTTTTATATTTTTCCTTTTATAACGTGCTCATGACTTAGCTAATACTCATCTTTAAACATGACAGGTGAATTCTAAATTGTGAACTATATAAACTTCTGATAACTGAAACATTGTAAAAAGCGTGTTTGTTTAAACATAAACCATTTATCGCCTCTCCAGGAATGGGCGTCCTGTGTCAGCTCTATACTAAATTCGATTCAACTGCTTCATCTGCCTCATCTTAAGCCTCATCATCCCAAACGAAAAAACGAACAAAAAAAAATTATAAAAATGTGAGCAAAGCTAGAAAGGCTGATCTATTACACTATAGATGAAAATAAAAAAGGAGACAGGAACAGTGGCCGATCCTAGCCCTTCCAGATGGCCGAATTGTCGCTAAATATGACCTGCTGATAGGGACTTGGCGGACTGCTATTTGGCACTCTAAAAAAAGTAACTTTGCAGTTTCAAGCACTTTGCAGTTTTAAGCAGGATTGCTTGTATGTCAACTGAATTCAGATGTCTGGATCCAGACTAGAAAAAGACACAGATCAAGAGACACTTTTAAAAAAAGACTGCGCGATAACGGCTTTATTATGCTGTAAGTACATCATAGTTAGAAATACTACCTGTATATGAACGTTTAAAACACTAAATATACACGTCGAAAGGTGCATATGGGTACAAAAACATGGGGGGATCACGAAAGTTATATAAAGTCATGAGGGGGGATCACTTCAATAAAATAACATTTAAAGGTGGGATCGGCTAAATTTCATCGTGTTTAGCCCAAAATCCTCCGACCCCCCCAAGGCGATAAATAATGACCGGTCCCTTATCAGCCAGTTAGAGCGACACCCAACACAAAGCAGTACAATGTAAATTTACTTTAAAACTAAAATGAATCGCACAAAGTTAGTTTCAATATCTTTTATCCTTGTTACATGGAATGCATTCCTTTTTTTGTAGCGAATTATATGAGCTGGGTGAGTCGATGTTGCTCGAAAGGCCGACGAAAAGCCAGCAAAAGTAACGACCCAACATCATGCAATTCTGATGATCTGGATCGCAGACGATTCAAAAGCTTGTTGGATCGCATCATCTGCCGACACTCCGAGAGAATATGCTGTGTTAAAGAAATCCAGAGAATGAGTTGCGAGAGTGGAAAATATGAAGCATCGTAAGTTATTAATTACTTAGTTAAAGCAGAAATACTCGTAAGTGCTCCATGCTCGGCAACAGAAAGCGGGTTATGAGTTCCGGCCGGGTGGGCCTCATGGCTCGCATGCGCCTCTAACTTTACTTCTCCATTTGTCCCTTTATCATTCAGCCAAAATCGTTCCTGTGACTCGTTCAGACCCTTTGTTGGTGGAGATGACTTCCGAATTTGTTGCGACTGCTGTGCCCTGGGAATCAAAGCCAAAACTGACTACGACGTCCCTTGTTCTGTTGACTTATTTCCTGTTAATGCTGGGAAGACCTCGAGCTCGCAGTGCATAAAGGCTTTTAAACAGTGTTGCAATGGTAAGAAAATATTATAAAATATTTTGCGAGTGATCATATTTCACAATGAGATATTAGCGTAAATTGTTGCTGACGGCTCCCCCCTATTTTCCCTCCAATTATAAGCCCCCCGAATTTCATAACCTTACCCTCCATCGGAATGAATAAATTTGAATTATGATGAAGCTTAGTGAAAAACCATTTGCTTCGAAGCGCTTTTTCTATTCCGATTATAAGCCCCCCTCCTTCCGCCTTTAAAAGCCCTCTTAAAACCCCTTACGAAGATGTTTAAACCCAAGGCTCATGAGTGGTAGTTAACAGTATAACAAGGTCGCTCCAGTTAATAATAATGCTACTTTTCTGAAAGGGTTTCCATCTAGATAAATAGAAATTAAACCTCAGACCCTTGGTTTCAACTTAGTAGACCGAAAAACATTTCATTATTTTGGCGAATATCAGCAAACGGAGTAAGAGTGACTCAGAATGGTTGTTCAGTATAGGGTATTTTTTTATGACATCATTGTCGTGTTTCAGTAAGATTTTGCTTCTTGAAGTTAATATATTATTTAAACTATAGACCGCTTTTTCTTGTGCATGCCTTACTGGAGAAATAGACCACGCGAAATTTTGAGAGAACACCGGAAAAACCTATCAATGTCGAGCTTATTGACTATATCTACAGTGGTCGATTTTCCTACCAGACCTTGAACAGACGAATGCCAAATATATTTTGATTCTTTTAGGATACTAGAACAGCCTTTCCTTTGGCATTATTCCATTCAACGGTTTTGCCGTTTTGTTATGTCTTCGCCTCTGTACAATTGTAAATCAAGAGAACATTTGGAGGTCAATTTTTGGTGGGATTTTCTTTCCTTGATGACATATAGCGTGCCGCCTAAAACCGCTCATCACAGAGTAGGTTACAATGTGTTACAATTTTCAGGGACATTTTTTCGCTTTGATTATAAATTGCTGCCGTACATGTAATACAAGTCGCCCCATAAGGGAATCCGGATTCCGAAATCCGGGAAATTTCAGTTTGCTTGTGGAATTCGAAAACCTGGGCTTTGGAATCTGGAACGTAGTTCATTAGGAATCCGGAATCCAAGTTCCACTTACGTGGGGCGAATACAATACACATTAGTGGACGCGGTCGGGCTATAAACTATCAAAAAGCGATTACGACGGTCACAAAATCTTTACACCCTGCACATTGTATGCCTTAATAACTCTTGAAATCCTTTCAACGAGATATGATATGAATTTTGTCTTTATAGGCTCGGTGACCGTGAATCCTCCAATTAAAATTCCACCGAACCCGAAATGTTCTGATAACTTTTGTCGGCAAGAGTGCCGAGACATACCGAATGAAGGAGCCAAGTGTTATTGTCGCAGTGGTTACCAGCTCCAGTCAGACAGAGTCTCTTGCCAGGGTAAGAAAACAATGAATGCTCACTTTAGAGTGTTTTATCTTTTGTTAAATATCCCCCGTCCCCCTATTCAATGTTGGGATGCAGCAGAACAATTACGGCGAGCACAGTCTCACATCCGATGAGCTAGGAATAAATATCTATTACTTCCCTGCTTTTTTTTTCTTTTTTGCCTTTTTGGAGAAATGGGTGGGGGGTGGGGGCGGATGGGGATGTTGTTAGTACGTGTTCTTCAGCTGTTGCGACATCCGCAATCGTTACAAAATTCGGAAGCCGCCAAGATCTTTGACACCAGTACCGAAATCCGCAAGCTGTCGGATATTCTAAGGTTTTTCATAACTTGGGATTGTCCTATATACTCCTTAACGATGTAATTTCTAAAATTCACGCCATTAAAGTAAAAGACTAACTGTGTATTGATGAAGAAGGTGATCTTCTTCCACATTTATTCTCATCTAATCTGATGTTACCACCACCTGTGTTGTATATTAAGCCGCACGGTAAGAGCTCCTTTCTATGCACATTTAAAACCCCAAAAAAGAAAGAAAAAAAATTGGAAACTGGAGAAGAAAAGAGTAAAGGGGGAATGAAGAGAAAAAAAAAATCAATAACCATACAATTCCATTAAGTTTTTTTTTCCAGAAAAAAAATGTTCTTGTTTTTTTTTTTTTTTGGATTTTAGGGCCTTACACATTCCAGCCAACTTTAAAATTTTCACTATTTCTTTGTCTTAAAAGAAAGAAAAAATTAGGAAAATGGGAAAGGAAAAAATGAGGAAATGAATGGGTGAATAAATAACTAAAAAAAGTGAATGTTTTTCACTCTGCAGACATAGATGAGTGTCGGCTCAGAGGTGAAAACGTTTGTGGTCCTTTAGAAGTTTGTGTCAACTCACCCGGAAGTTATCGATGTGTCAATCAAACAGAAGCGGCGTGCAAGAAGGGAGAAGAAAAACAAGGCGACTCATGTATAGGTTAGGGCTCCTACTATTATGACTATAATATATTCTTTTCTACCCATTTAAATTAATATGCTTAAGTCCTTATCACCTTACAGTGTCTAGTATTTTGACAGTCATTTGTTGTGCGATCGACTCGTCCCTTTAGGGCGTTTCCTAGGCCTTCTCGCGTTTAATTCATTTCGGGTGGCATATCCGAAACGCATTAGCCGCGCACATTAGTGACAAAGCCACTCGCAGATCCACAGTGGGCTACATTTGAGGTCATAAAACACAATTCTCCACCAAGAGCTTTACAACAGTTTGCCCATTAACGAAGAACCCAATAATGGCTCTACCTGTTCTAATTCATATACTTAAGATTGTTTTTTTTGCTTACTTTTTTGTTGGCGAGGAGAACTTTTGAGTGGTTTAAAATTGTGGTTGAGTACATTTTATATAATATGTACCCATTTCAAACCCTTTTTGTTACGCGAGAGCAAATTAGTAATCTTTTACTTTATGTGATGATTTGATTGTGTGTGTGTCGTTTTTTTAATTTCTTTAGACAAGGATGAATGTGCGACACGAGAAGCAAAATGCCCGCGGTACTCAACCTGCGTGAATACTGACGGTTCATATAGATGTCAATGTGAAAGTGGACGGATACTTAATAATAACAAATGCGATGGTATGATAACCAGTTTAAAGTTGCCAGCCTGTGTTTTGAAAAGAAAAAAAACAAACAAACAAACACTTGTCCTTTTGTTAAAGGAAATTTATTTCTGAAAGAAATAAATGGTTTTATGCTTAATGTGACTGATTAATGTGTCATTTCTCCAGTTACTGGGGAGGGGGCGTTCCTGCCATCCGGGACCGGATGGCGGGTGTGCCCTCACCTTTGCTGGGATAAATCGTCTTGTGGATCTGGACTTTCCTAGCTTGATATGCTTAAATGAAATAAACGGCCACTCTTGTGGCCAAATTTATCCCAAACTGGAATTGTCATTATTGGGTATCCCAGCAAACAGAGCTCACCCAAAGCAAGACTCCACCAACAGCAATAACTGACTCAATAATGCTATCTAAAGGAACATGGAGCATAAAAAGCATTTTCTCCGATAATTTTCTTATTCCATGTATAATGTAGAGGATCTTCTCAACAAATTACAAGCCAAGGGAATTAAACTGAAGTTGCTATTAAAGCTTTCATATCTGAGTTCAAATTCCGGAGTAACCCTGAGTTATCTTAACCCAGCTTTGAACAACCCGGCCCGTGCGTACAATCCTGATTCCCACCTTGGTTTATGTAATTTGAATCCCTAGATGTGGATGAATGCTCCAACGGCCAACATTCTTGCCGCCGAGGAACAAGATGTGAGAACACTAATGGTTCATACAGGTGTGCTCCCATCAGACAGTGTCCCCCCGGACAAGAATTCAACGCCCAGGGACAATGCGTACGTAAGTAAAAAATACCAAGTAAGTTGAAAATAAACACAATATGCCACTTCCGTGTTCCAAAAACTCTCACTTTGAAAACTAGGCTAAGTGAAAACCTTTCTTGTGAAAGTGAGTTATATGTGCATGAGAATTTAAAGTCATGTTCTTGTCAAAGGTTTCGCAGTTAGTCTCGCTTTGAAACAGAGGCTTGGGGCAACTCTGGAATGGCCTATTTAATGATAGGATTATTAGAGACCAGGTGTAATGTTACAGACACACCTCTCTTTGTGAAGACTTATTACTTTAAGCCAAAACGCATTTTGCGGCAAATCTGTCCCGAAGACATCTCCACTCACAGTTCAACTTGGTGAGTTTGATTAGGCATGTAAATTCTTTCTTTTTTTAGTGGAAGTACACTTAAGCTTGACTACTCTAGCTAGTTCATCAGATGATTATAGACATAACAGGATTAAAAACTCAACTGGCAAGAGGAAGCCAGTTTGTCTTTTTGGAGACCTGACCTTGCAGCTGAACTAGAGATGACCGAGGAACAAGTGTTTGCGAGTCCAATGAGCCAGTCTAAGAAAAGAAACGTTATTACCAGCTTATATTACACGATATCTCAATTGATTTTATTTATTCCAAATTACTTCTTGGCAATAGTTAAACTGCAGCAATTACTTCTCTTGTTACAGTGCAAGAATTATTTCGCCATATTTCATGACTTGTGGGTGTCTTTTTTTTACAATGTTGCCTAGATCAGTAAAAAAAAACAAGACTTTCATGTGGTCAAAATCTACTCTTTCTTCTTTAAATCTACAATTCCAAATTTACGATTATTAAATTACAACAAGAAGGGATAATGGAGGGCGGATCTATTAATGATTATCCTCTCCTGCTTACAAACATTTCTGCGCGTTCCAACGGTTTAGGCATGTTCTAACCATGACCGTTTTCTAATAGTATATAATTTCATACGACGCATCCAGATATCTCTATAACAAATTTTATCATATCTAAAATAAAATGTGATTTACGTGCCTTGAATATAAATTCCTATGTCATTCGATAAGCTTCTCTGTGTAGCAGAGTTTTGGCATCCAGAATATGATTTATTTTTAACTGACCCATGAAGTCAATAGCATTTCTTTAAAGAAATATCAATGGAGAATTCTCTCCGGGGGACACAATTCATTTTTCATTACAATTTTGTCGTACCACCTATTCTTTAGCCCCCTATTTTCTTACTCTACGTGCATATGATTTTTTTTTGCCATTTTTAAGACACGTTTTATGCATTGAGGAAAACGTCTACATAACTGAGAGATGACACTTTGTGCCACAAACGTTTTGCTCTGTTTTTTTTTTTGTATGTTTTTCTTGCAAAACTTTAATCAACTTCCGCCAATTTGGAATGGCCCTCTGCGAACTAAAAAGCCGAAGTCTCTGCTCGATCTGATGGGCCAGTAAAAATGTGCTATTTTTATTCTTAAAAATATACAATGTAATTCGCTAATCCTGACTACTGCTTTAATAATGGGTCATAGAAAAAAAAACAGCAGTTCGAAGTTCAACAGATGACAGATGACAGACTGAAATGGTTCCCACCACTACTAATTCGGTCCTACGTCGGTGAACTCATCTTTAGTTTTATCCTCTTCTTTCTCCGTTCTGTAGTGATCCCAACAAAGCACTTTGTTGTTATAAAAATGAAAGTTCTCGCCTACTCTGAATCTTTGTCTGCAGATCTGACACGAAAAGCATTCGATGTGGTAGGCGTTCTTCCCTGCTCTCATAACAAACTCAAACGCGGCTATTTGTTTGTTACACGCAGAGCAAACACCAGGAATTCCAAACAATCTACCAATCGAGAAAAGAAAATTGATTACAATTAGCAATTTAAAATGAACATCGTTAGAAAGTAAGTGATTTAGGGAAGGTTTTGATTTATGGCCTTTTATGCGCCTTTTAGCAATCAGAGACACAATGATGATGATGATGATGATGTTAAATGTAATGATGGTGGAATCTCTGATTTGACCAAAAAGGTTTGCCTCTAAAGAAACAAAATTACGGCACTAAGTCGGTGGAGGATTGAAACGCGAAAAATAGTTATCGTTAACTGAGGCGGGAGGTTCAATCAATTGACCACCATTAAGGTATTCAAGGCTGACATTAGGGTGGCCAATTCATCTTGTTGACACTGCTATGAGGGTTTCAATGGAGTGGCGGCATTTACAGTTACCGTTAAACTTATTGGAAAAACCTGAAATATTTCAGGAATGACAATTAATGTGTTATTACCAATCAATTAAGACAAAGAGCTTCTCAAGCCAGCAGGCTACAAAACCAAACAGATAATCGTTGTTGCTTGCGGTTTAGTTTTCTCGCTTCCTCATTGCCTTTTTCTTTGTAGCGGTCTAATATTCCAGAAATATTAATGGTGGTCACGGGTTTCTGAGTTTCACTGTAATTTATTTCTGTTAGTGCAGTCAGACATGAAAAGAGGGAAAAGAAAAAGAAGTACGTAAAAGTTGAAAACCAATTTCCACTCTAAGCAATATAATTTTCGACACCATCAGGAAAAATCTCTTGGCGCTCGAAAACGCTTTTTGCGGTTCTCGTTTTTCCCTTTAGTGTCAAGCATTTTCTTTTGCCTAAGCCCAACGAATAAGTTACTTGGTAGTTTACAACTATCCCTAACCCTTTGAGATGGACCCTCTGACAATCCGCACACCCTAGTTGACCTCGATTAACACGAATCCGGCAAACCCGGCTGACTCGGTTGGGGTAACCACACTAGCCCGCCCTCTCATTTTAACCTGGATAATGGATTTGAAGACGAGAAAGTAATAAGGAGAAATCTCAACAACTCTCAGCCAGCCGGCTTATCCAATTTCATTCAATGAAGAGGCCTCTATTTATTAGCTGAACGAAGTGCAGGTCACGCTTAATAATTCATCGATTCTTTTAAGTAGTTTAGTGACCTCAACTCTTAATTGATGAAGAAAATGTAAAAATAATAATAATAATAATAATTTAAAAAACGAAAGGGAAAGGAAAATCTCTAAAATTTTCAGCTTCAAATTGTGGTGGAACTAATGATTTTGACGTCGCTCTATCGGATCAAAATCTTTGGTGTACCGCGAAAAAAATAAATAGTTTTTTTTTACGTAAAAATTAACACCCTTCTTTCTCGGCAGCTCCCTGCTTGGAACTTTCATCAAGCGACGACTGGATATCTCGACTGGCTGTACAATTGGCACTGTGGTTATATGTGATCCTAAATCTTAACAAAAATCATTAAAATCCTTTTGTAGCGGAATTTGTAATGGCTGTGAGAATATGTCGAATTTTTTGGCGACTTCAAGAGCAATTTCGAGTTGAACGACAGAAAATGTTGCAGGATTTTTTTTTCTTAAGCTACGCTGCCGCATAATTTAGCTATATTTTTAGATTATTCTAAAAAATGTGACCAAGACTGCGGCGATAATTGCACTGCTCTTTTGTCAATACTAGACAAATACAATCTGGTGGTAATAGTGGGTCAAGCAAGCAAATACCGTTAATTTTAACAATAGAAGCAGATTGAAAAATTGATTTCATTCAGCAGTATGAGGGCAAAATCGCGTTTCATCTTAAGAATCAAACGATAGTACGTCAATTTACATAATAGGCAGTGTGCTGTCCTCTGATACATCATCTTCTGTGGTAATTCGAAGTACGGTGAAACATTTCATTCCGTACATATAATTCTCCTCATTATTTAAACTTTTAAGCATCACCTGGAACTCATAATATTTTTTCGATGGTATTAAACAAAGGAAATGTCGTTCCTTTGAGGCACGTTACGACTATTTCCTCGTTGGCTTAAGGGAAAATAAATTTGTACTCTTTGTAAATACTAGAGGAAAGGATCTGGTGTTCTGATGTACGATTCATTTAACTGTGTATGGTCAAGAACACCCTGTACGCGCAGTAAATTAACAATTAAGAGAGAAAATAAAACAAAACGATCAAAGCAAGAAAATGTCTACTTTAGAGAGCAAGTAAGAGTTATAAAACTCAAAATTAACATGAATATTAGTCTTGATATCTTGATTGCCTATCGCTAACGAACGAGTTGTAATCCGTATTCATCTTTGTTATCATTTTTACACTTTTAATCCCCAAACTAATCACCTCCTCATTTGTCCTTTGCCAAATGTTTTTAACCAATTCTTTTATGTATTTAATGCCATTTAGCCAATTATAAGCATAGTGGGGTAGGGGAATGGGACTTAACGATCTGTCATATTTCGAGCGATCATTTCTCCTTTAATGGTGGTACGTTCATTACTAACCTCAAGTAATCTCGCTTGCAGAGGATAAGGTTTGCCTTACTGTACAGCGTCGAACCAATATCGCCGAGTTTGCATTCACAGCAATTGCATTTTAAGCACCCCTCGTGCCAGTACATTCCCAAAGCTTCTAACAAGAAACGGTCAGTTATGGGCAGTTTGCATCCACTACAAAGATGTTTGCTCTGTTGGTCCTTTGCGAGCTCAGTGCTTTCTGAGGCTGGGAAAGCAGCAAATAAAATAAACAAGTATTAGCGCGCGTCGAGTTAGAGATATATATATTTGTAATTTTCGCAGAAATGACGGCTGCGTTTGTTGCTTAGCTGTCTCAAGCGCTTGTTTTAAAATTGAGGTTTTATTGAAAATTTTCGAAGCTCAGCAAAATTTACGAGGGGATTTATATTCGAGTTCCATGAGCGCTGGTAACAATTCAAATGAAAGCGACGTCCGATCTTACACGTTGTTCATGTTATTAAACATTGAGCTCCTAATCCTGTATTTCCGCTATACGTACGAGACAATTTAGTATTACGATTAAAATCAGCCATGATATTCTAGAACAAGCTTACCCATATTTTCCTGATAATCGTATAAGTTCTGTCTTACGTTTGTTGAGGCTAGATGCCTGTCTTGTTTCTGTGTAAGCTCAAACCACGACAACCCTCAACCAGAAATAATTTCCAAATCCATTGTCTCCCGGTATTTCATCAGTCTTATTCAACGCTAATGATTTCTGGCCGTGAAGTAACAAAAACACTGCTATTCCGCGCGGTAATTACCTATAATGACGCGAGTTTTTCTATTGGCCAAGATGAGCTAAATAAAACAGGTAGCCATGTGAAGTAAAAAGAAAATCATTGTAATTATCAAACGCTATAAGCTAGTTGGAATGGATGGAAAGTTAACCAAGTAAGCGTTCTCATTAAAGTAATCAGTGCAATGGATCGACATTTTCAGGTAGATAAAATTCGGTATCAATGCAGGGGAATCAAAACCGGCGCAGGCCTTTTAAAAGATGAATTTGGAGTGGTTTTACGTAAATAGGAAAATTGCAGTTTTAAGATTAATCTCTCAACAGGAAAGAACGATCGTTAATTGGCCAGCTGTCCGTTCGTAGTTTACATGCAAATTCTTTTAGGCAATTATCATGAAGTTTTTGTTTTATATGGCTAATGACTCCCTTTACTTTTATCATGACTGAAAACACTTTCAATTGTCGTAAAAATATATAACAATTAACGCAAGCAGATATCGCCTTAACTTCAAACGTATTTTAATTTTAATTTTTTTTTATACTATCGTCTGTTTTTGCCCAACCATAAATCGAACTTTCTCTTTCATTAAAGATAGCTTTTTTGGCAGGATGTAATTAATATTTGAGAGCATATAGGCGGGGAGAGTTTCTACCCTTTGGAAGTAATTTAGTTTAAGCGACACGATAATTGCTTTCTATTATGAAATAACAAAAAGACCTTTTAGGAAGAGTTGAAGCGATGAAATTTTCTTGCCACAAGGCAAGCGCAACTGGTACCAAACTTGAAACAATAAAACAAACTTTCCTCACAAAACAATAACAGAGGCGGTTTCAAATTAATTGTTTTTCTGCTGGGACTATACCGCCGGGGAAATGATAGATTTGCAGTGCTCATCTCGGGTGATATGTTAGCTCTCTAAGAAATTTTTTAAAATTCCAGTACTGAAATTTTTTTTACGTATTTTTTAACTGAACTCGAACAATTGAAGATCTGCTTTATTCTTCACTCAAAGAAATTGTACTCGCCATTGACGATAATAAATAAAGTTATTAATCAACTACAGGTTCGATCCACATGTCTAGCATTCTGTCATTTTTCAAGTTCTGTTTCAAGATTCTAAAATCTTCGATAAACGCCCTATCGCTTGGCTGCGTAAGGCCCATCACCTTGAATTGGGTTCGTAACAAACTTGGTCATCGCAACGGCATTTTAATCCGACGCAATTTATCTTGAGTCCATAATTTAAATTTGTGATGTCTTGAATTTCTGAACTAACAAACCAATCGAGTTACCACTATTTTCTAAGGGAATAATTCTATTATTATGTTTAGGAGAAGTTTTATAATTCAGTGTTATAAAAGTAGTTTGAGTTTGATCTCAGTCTTATAACTCAGTAAGAAATTGAAAACGTTTAATGCATTATCTTGTGTTCCAATTTATACAAGCACGCGTTTTCGATTAGTAATCTCATTTAAACAACACGGCAGGAAACAAAACTTGTTTTTCGTTTAATATTTATAGTCATATTTTCTACTGAGTGGCCCTCGAAGGCCCTAATTTTGCAATAGGAATTCAAATGTGGGCCGCCCACAAAAAAAAAATTATCTTTGAGGCATCCTAACTCTACTACTTAAATGTTGGCGATTACGGCTTTGAAAGGTCTTTTTTTTTAACTTAACACTCTTCGTTGTAGAGGGAATTTGTTCTTGCATTAAGTAATTGTATACCTCGTGTCAAAGTTAGCTAAAGTTTGAAGAGATTTTGCGTAGTTTAAAATTCTATTGATATAGCTTGCGAAAACATCACACGTTAATCTCTTATACTGTTAATCTCTTATACTTAGTAGCTCATAGCCTTTGGTCGAGTCAATGCAAAAGATTGCGTAAAGTAGTAAAAGTAGAAAATATCTCCTCAAAAGCTTTGAATTCAGTTCGTAGCATTTACTAGGATAAGACAAAACAACAAAAAAAAACACTGAGGACGTACACATAAAAACAATTAAGACAGTGCAGTTCGAACATTTGGAAGGGAACATGTATAAGCATCTCAAATGAGCAGCTTTCTTTATTGTTGTTAGCCCCGTGGGGCATTTTGTTACAGATTGTCACATTTCATATTAAAGCCTTGAACACTGAGCATAAAGAAAGTTTGTGGTGAAATTAACTCCCAGCCTAAGGATATCTTGTAATTTTTTTATAAAGGAAATGCGTCAGAAACATAAGTTCCTAGTGTTAATTTTCCCATATTTTGCATTTCAATAGCCGCTTTTTGTAACAGTTTCAAATAAATTTCGTTATTGTCTACAATTATCGTTAATATATTACTCTCTTTGGATGTTGCTGCTGATGAACTGTGCTAATCGATATCCGGCGGAAATGACTGGTTTTTCTAGACAGTTTAGACCATAACACCCCCACTAATCGTACGATTTTGTCTGTTCAGCCTCCTTCACTTGCGAATCATTTCGTACTTTTAAACCGAGGAGAGCTGGGTACGAGTCTTTTTATTATGATATGAACAACGCGATGACCACATAGTCAGATCCAGGGCGGTCAGATCACATCGAGCTTTGAATGCCTGTATCTCGTTCAATATAGGCCCGATAAACACCAAACTTGAGATTTTTCCCGAACCCCAATGTGATCTTTCTTACTACGTGTGTCTCGTTGTGTTTATCCCATAATTAACGGACTCGTACCCAGTCCTGCTAGGTTTGAAACTAGGCAATGAATGATGCGTAAAAGTGATTTCTCGTCTTATTAGTATGCTCGAGGTCTAACCGTTCTCACCAAACCCAAGATAGATTAGACAAAACTTTATTCATTCTTCATTCAGTGATCGGTAGTTAATAGGTACGCAATGCGTGCTTGAAGTAATGGTACTTGAATTAACGATTGCATAACGAAATTTATAACAAATATCAAAATATGCAGATAAATGATCTACGCCGAGTAAAAGAGATTGTTATGCAAAGCAGTTGACATTTTTTCACAAATGATGACAACCATCAATCCAGGATTTTGTACATCTCGATTTCCTCTTTCTGATTTGAGGGTTAACTCGTTCTAAGCCTCACTCGGTTTGAACTTAGGCAGTTCTCGTCAACAGAGCCTTAAGAGTTACGGCTGTGCATCTCACTCGTTTCCAGACTTCGACATAAAGCGTGCGAAACTGACGAGAAAGTTGAGGGGGCGTCTTCTCTCTTCCTTATTCCCATAACCCTTTGCTCCCCCATCTAGCACTTCCATACCGCGCGCAAGACAATTGGGGACGAATCGGGATGCGCATGACCAGTGGTCATGCGCAATAAAGAAGAGCTCTGGGCAGAGTTGTTCGAAGGACGATTGGCGCTAATCCAGGGCTAGTTACCATGGCAACCCATAAGTTCTGTTTACAGCTAACTTACCACGAACAAGTCGGCCCTGCAGTCCGGAATGACTTAAGATAAGCGTAACGTGATTTCCGCAGGCGCAGAAGCATAAGATTTTCACACTGCTGGCACGCTGACAGTGACAGTTTTTCCATTGCTTTTGCTTGTACTTGCTAAGCATAATTACAATCACACGAAGAAGGTTAACCCCATCCAGTCATGTGTAGCCTTTAGGGTAGACGAAGAGTTCCCTCCCAGACGTCAAGTGTTTGTAACTGTTTTTTCTCCCAAAGGCTCTCAAAATGGTTTTAAAGCAAAACAAGCCAAGCTCCGTGACTCTTATCAAGAATTCGTCTGCACCCCGGCCGCCGGAGTATGGCTATTTTTTGCTTCCTCCAAACAAGGGGGGACTTTGGAGGTTCCCTCTGATCTATAACTTCAAACCGCTCATGACTGGGCTACCAAAATTACAAATCTAGGTTTAATCTCATTGACAGAATGAAGTCAGTATGAATTCATTGTTAAATTTATTAACAAGAACCAGTCGAAATCCAGAGGAAGGCCTGTGAAGTCGAATGTAATAAAATCTGCAAACATTTATGTATGCGGAAAAATTCGGGTAAATGTAGGGTGAATGTAGCCTCAGAGCACTGTTAGGTTGTTCCCCGACATTTCATTCTGCCTGAAGCTTGTTCCAGGCTCCTAGATAGTCTCGAAATTGAGAAAGCGCGACTTGCTTTCGCTTTGCTTGTTTTATTTTCGTCTCTACTATGCTTTCTGAGAGCCTGGCACAGTCTATTCCCCGTTTTATTCCTGTAGCATCGTATCTCTTTAAATCGCTAATTTCATTGGACACTTATATGTTGAAGCTGTTTTGGTTTGGGGTTAAGTTCCATTGTTAACTTTGTTTGTTCATTGTTTTCCCAACTAAGGGCCTGTTTACATGGAGTTGGGAGACCCCGCCAGGTAGGCGAGGTAACTCGCTTGTCCATATCATCTCTCATTTAATTTGATCACGTTTACATGTTAGGTGGGGTGACCCGCCAGACGTTACCTTACCTCACCTATCTGGGGTCCCCACCTCCATGTAAACAGGTCCTAACCCTGTGGAACCGGGTTGCCGAAATGTGCAGCTCCGCTAAAGGCCTAATATTTTCTTCGCTTAAACTTGTAAACCTGGTTTAATCTTCCTCAGTTCGCGTACTTATTGCGCGTGACTGCTCGCAAAATTCATTGTTTAAAAAAAACTTCTTGCAATTAATCCTCGGTTATTCGGTGTAACTCGGCACTCACCAGTTTCCTAACTAGTTTCCGTATTGAGTGTTCGGAAATATCATGAAAGTTTTTGTCTCCTTTCCTTTGTCCTTTCAGCTAAGAGATTGGATATTTGTACCAGAATCCAGTGCGGCACAGGTTTTATTTGTGACCGTAACAATCCCCGTCAACCCTGCCAAGGTAAGCTAAAACAGAAATCATTTTGCTGTTTTATCTCTTTTCGGAGTGTTTCAACCAACGCTGGTCCATGGGTTTCTTCTCTCTTTTTTGCGCTGCTTTATGGCTCAAGTTTAAAGAGGAAGAAAGATTTAAAGCCAGGGCAGTATAGGTATAGCTTTGTCTCGCAATTTAGCCAATTTTGAGTAGTTTGGCAACAAACTGAATAAGATGTAAACTTTAACGCTGAAACAGCGAAAGAAGATATTTAAAAATAACACAGTGCATTTTTGCGGGTAGAATCCGGAATCCTGGGCTTTGAAAGGGTAGTTTAGCTCAAGGAATCCGGAATCTAAGTTCCATTGACAAAAAATCCGAAAAACAGTATCTGGAATCTGGAAACCACAACCTGGAATTCAGAATCTAAGAGTGTCTTGGTTCGCCCTACATGGGGCCAGACTGACACACTTTGTTGTCATGTAGCCGTTCATGTAATGGTCGAGTCATTTTAAGTTATTTCTTTGCTGAAGTTTCATAGTAATAAGTAATGGTCAGAACTAACCAAAACGGATTCAACTGCGGTAATGACGTTCCTCTTACCTCATGGTATAAATAAGTAAGGCGTCGATGTTATTTTTTGTTACTAGATATCGACGAGTGCAAGTTATCGCCTGCTAAGTGCAACGCAAGTGAGACCTGCATCAATTTTATCGGAACTTTTCAATGTCGAGGTTAGTATTGGCCCGAGGAAACGTTTAAATTTTTAGTCGTACGAGCATGCAATGTGTTATTTGTTGGGTGCAGACTAGTCGCCTGCGCAACCGTTTCTGGACATCAGCAAACTAGTAATATCCTCACCGCCTAATATTAAGTTGTGAGTAAAGTCCAAGCCTGCTGAAGCAATAGACCATGATGCAATAAGGATAACGCTGAAGTTGTCAACCGCCACTAGGGGAGGTGGGCGGTTCGCGAAAATTGACCGTGGTCCAAGAGTACCGATCATTAAAATGACCACGTTTTAGGTAGTAAGGCCAAATTTGAAGTCAAGGGACGTAAAGCATTACAACAGGTACAAGCTTACGGGATTTAGAGGAAATGCGCACAGATTATACAAAATTGCTGGGATGAGCAAATTAACTATGCAGTGAGAATAGAGAAGGTAAGGGAGCGCCCTCTTACGCCCAGGTCAAACTTATAACTTCACTTGTGACTAACAACTTAAGCAAACTGTATTGTCCTGTTGTCCTTTTTGAAAACTTTAAATTTGACTACATTACGTCATAGTTAATCATCACAGTAGTCAGAAATACAGTCAAACCCCGTCTTACGGACACCCGCTTAATATGGACACCTCATTGTTACGGACATGCAGTTTGCTTTGTCCCAGGGGAAAGAAGGTCGTTACATTTTCTCTTAATTCAACCCGCTTAATACAAACAATCCGTTAATAAAGACATTTTCTATAACCCCTTCAGTGTCCATATTAACGGAGTTTGATCCTATGAATCTTAAATTTTCTATTTAAATTTATTTTGGTCTTACTTTTTAACTTAACGGTACTAGTCATGCGAAATCTGTAAACTAGCCTTATGGCTGAATATATTTCCACGTTACGTAAATTGTGCTATATCATATCATGACTTGTGCAAATCTTCCAGACCCTTGCAAAAATGTGGACTGTGGAGCAGGACTCAAGTGTGCACCGTTAGGGAGATCATACAGTTGTATAGGTAAGAATAAAAACTGGCTATGTGCTCTGGAAAAAAATAATAACCAGTGGGTTCACTGAAACCCCGTTTACACGGAACCGTGGAAATTCTGTTGCACATTGCAGTACTGTTTACCGTTCAAAGACTTGCATGGTTCCCGCGGGTCCTGAGTATACCATGCAAGTTTTTTCCGTTCAAAAATTTGTCCAGACCCGTGTAAACTAGGTCTGAGGCTTGCGCTGTTCTTGGTCTTTGAGAACTTGGTGGTTTGGTTTCACCTTACCCCGTTGGCATTGTGAAACATGACGTAAACTACGCCAGTTATACTTGAAACGGGGGGTGTGTAGCAAGTCAAGTACGTCGAAAATTCCTTACCTGAGGTTATTAACATATAATCAGTCACGTCTCCTAAGGTGAATATTTCTTTATAATTATCAAATCGCGGCCATCTTGGAGCCGCCAGCTTGGAATACGTTAACTTATTAGTCTATTTATTCATCTTTTTATCACTTTTTTATTGTCCTCTATGCTGGTGTCCCTGAATAATGAAAAGGCGACCATGTTGGTGTTCCAAACCAGTCCTTTTTCTTATGTAAAAACTTCCTTTTGTCCCAATAAATTTGCATTGCTGCCGGCCACGTGATTACATCGCCCCCCACTTCTTCCCCCTTCGAAATTTTGCTTGACAAAGTTACTAAAAAAAGGCTATATCTTTCTAATCGCGTAGCGTTGCATTTTCTTTAGATATAGACGAATGCAGACTCTCTCTGAACAACTGCACGGGTGACCATGAGATCTGCGAGAACCTATATGGTGGTTACAACTGTAGATGTCGCGATCAGTTCACAAGGAACCAACAAACCAAGAAATGCGAGCGTAAGTTTGTTTGTAGATCTACGTGTCTACTTTTACACGTTTCCGTCTGGTTTGAGCTCAGGTAAATGGACGGCAGAAGGAACTGAGAGGACGGCAAAACGTTTGCGTGTGACAAACATGACTGGGCTATTACTGGCGAGTTTTTTCCTTGATATTCAGTTGACGATACTAGTTTTGGTCAGTTCCAAAAAGATTTGTTTAAAGGAAGGCGAAATTGGGCGGAATTATCACATTTACGAGGCTTACTGTCTTCTTTGCCCCGGCGTCCTTTTGCGTAAGTTCAATAGTATTGAAGGGGGACAGGTTTACAAGTACTTAAAATAAACTTTTTAAGTCCCGTTCGTATTCATTTGTCTTTTAGTTCGATCGACGATCCTTAAGGCCGTCTAGTCTCTTTCCTCCGCCAAGGCTTCTTTGTGCCCCTAGGGGACTGGAAAGAAGCAACACTGATGCGCGCTGGAGACGATGGGTGAGAGAAAACAAGATTTCTCTCTTCTCATCGTCCTCTACGCGCTCGCTACTGTTTCTTTTTTTTATTTCATTCTCTTATTACTTAGTATGGAAAGCCTTTTGAGAGGAATAAGCAGTTTGTTTTGTGTGCCATAAAACTGACCCGGGATTTTCACGGTGGAGTTCAAGAACTCTTGAATCTGAATAACGCATTTGCGCGAGAAGTGGAATTAAGTATGTCAAACTTGTGCTGACGCGTCAAAACCTTTTTACTCTTAAATCAACCCAAGTATTTCTCAGACTCCTTTCCCTAAGTTTCTTGTAGTTCTTGAGATGAGAGTTTGTCTACAAAGTAAATGCTACTCAGTTGTATTTGTTTTTCGGTCTTAGATTTGACGCGTCACAAATTATGTCACCTGGCCGTGCTCTCTGTGCCAAAACTATACCAGTCTTGAAAATAGAAAAGAATGTTGTTTGTTATTTCTCAGGTTCTAACGCTTGTACTGGGGTAAACTGTCCAAGTGGCTACAAATGCCATGTCATAAATGCAAACAACTTTCAGTGTAAAGGTTGGTACATATAATGACCTTGAAAACGATGCAATCACGACGCTATTTTGGGCTATTTCATTGCAGATATCACATCAATGATTCAGAGTAAATAAATATTTATTGACTGTCTCTAGAAGATTAGGCTTTTAGAGAGAGAGCGTTTAAACATATTTGAAAAAAACATATGAAAACAAAAAGGATTTAATCTTCTGAAAAGATCACGTGATCTACATTAGGCAGAACTAAAACCTTAAACGAACGTCGTTCGTTGGTCCATAAGTGTCAAATCCACGTCCGCAAGTATGTTACACTTAAGAACTGTCTTTTGGATGTTATGAATTTCTTTAATTTATGACAAAGCAGAAAGAAAATACCTTTTTCATCTGGTCACAAGGTTAAGTCAGTTTTCCTTCCATTTTAGACATCAATGAATGCGAAGATTCTCCTTCACGTTGTCAGGCCAATCAACGTTGTGTCAACCACCCTGGTGGTTATTACTGCACGTGCCATCAAGGATACCGACTCAATCGCCTCACCGGCACTTGTCTAGGTTACTGATTCTCATTTTTGTTTCTTGTTTGTTTGTTAGTTCTTTTTTTCTTCTCCACCCACCCATTTATCCACCCTACAATGCATTTACTCATCCATCCATTCATGCATCTAAGGCATCTATCCATCCATCCATCCATCCATCCATCCATCCATCCATCCATCCATCCATCCATCCATCCATCCAACTATCCATCCATCCATCCATCCTTCTTCCCTTCCTTTCTTCCGTTTATCTGTCGGTCCGTCGGTACATACATACATTTACCACTCCTTTTTCCTCGAATACCTGCCTACCTACCTAGCCACCTGTCTACCTTTCTACCTATTTACCTGCCTACACCAACCTAACTACCTACCTGTCTACCTACCTACCTACTTGCCTGCCTGCCTACCTACCTACCAACCTGTCTACCTTTCTACCCATTTACCTGCCTACACCTACTTAACTACCTACATGTCTACCTACCTACCTACCAACCTACCTACCTATTTGCCTCCCTGCCTGCCTGCCTACCTACTTAGCTACCTACCCACCTACCTACCTACCTTCCATCCATCCATCCATCCATCCATCCATCCATCCATCCATCCATCCATCCATCCATCCATCCATCCATCCTTCCTTCCTTCGCTGTCTTGGGCATTTTCTATTTTCCTCGTTCAATTTCTGCTACTGCTTATTTCCCGGCTTAACCCTTTCTCCCTCCTAACCAAAGTTGGCTGACACTATATAGCTAAGTGCAGCCATACCTACTGAAACAGTGTTGCTGCATCCCTTTCATGCCAATGGCTCATAATGCCACCTTATTTCACTAACTATTTTGGAACTTTCCACAGCAACGTACGACACAACGCGATTGATGAAATTAAATTCTGCTGCACTGCAAAGACAGTAAATTAAACGATCTAATCTCTTGCCGAGGAAAAATCCGACACTCGATGAAACGACCCTTTGTTCCGTAATCATAGATGTACAACTTTTGTTTATTTTCTCTTTTTTTTGTCCAGATATCGATGAGTGCGCCGAAAGGAGATCAGGATGTAATCAGATTTGTGAGAATACAGCCGGTTCATTCGTGTGTCGTTGTAGGAATGGTTATCAAATGCATTCGAACGGACAAACTTGCAGAGGTACAACACCTGTATACAATGACTGTGATTAAGTATTTAGTGTATTTCACCTATTAACCACGCCACATGGTAAACTGGATTGGACTCTTGGAATGTTGGACCCAATTCTTGGACTTATTCTTTGACCATTTTTAGACTAGTTTTTGGACCATTTTTAAAGCATTTTAGTAGGCAAGGGCGATTTTCCAGCTGGAGATCAGGAAAAGTGAGGTATTAACATCTAATTACACCGAGTAAACAACACCAAATTTCTATGAAACCAAAGTTGTCTAATGAATTAGATGCAATGCGGAATTCAACTCCTGAAATGCCACAGGTCCACCCTAACACTGAGCAACCATTGCAATTGAGTTTTACGTAACAAGCATCTACAGCTGCCTCGCTAGGAGATACTAGCGGGGATGGGGAGATGAGGGACGGCTATATTCTCAGGCTGGTTGTTACGATAATATTCGTAAAAGGATTGTTAAGATTAGAAGGTCATGAAAAGTAGTTTCGACCTTTGATGAGCTATGGCTCAGCTAGCGGAAAAAGAAGACAGAAGACAGACCCTGTAGGTTTTTAGCCCGGGGGGGGGGGGGGGGGGTACTGGGTACTTCGTAATAGTATAGTCGCATTTTCACGACTGGATTGACTATTATGTGGTGCATGTGGATTGACTATTATGTACTAGAATGGGGTCAGAGAATTCAGGTATGTAGGGATTTAAAAATAGTTAGATTTACAGTACATTAAGGTTAACCAATGTGTCAAGTCATTTCAGGATGACCAAGTTAAAAGGCTTTATAAGGTAGATGCATAAGAAGAAAGTGACTAAGTTGGGATTGCGAGAATTACTTTTTTTTCCTAAAGTGGCTAAGATTGAGTCTTTGATATGGCCACAGAATAGACTATAAAGGGGTAGTTGTTCTGAGAGGCCAGCGGCACATACCCAGCCAAAACTAGCCTACGTAACCGCCACGGGGGGGGGTAGGAATTCGTTGCGAATGAAATACTTTCATTTGTCATTCTTTTTAAACAACAGACATAGACGAATGCTCCAAGGGTTCATCTGGATGTAACCAAATGTGCCAGAATACATTGGGATCATTCGTCTGTCGTTGTAGAAGAGGATATGAACTCCATTCGGACGGACGAACATGCAGAGGTATGCACCAGGCTGCGTTACTGATACATCCCACGTCTCTTGTTTTGTCTGTCTGCCTCTTTGTTGGTTTTTTTTTATCAAAAAGATCTTGTACCAAAAGATTTAATCATAAAATTTTCGTCCTTTAACGCACTTGAAAAATGCTTACTTTCCGAGTTTGCGTCTTTTAAAAAATTCCGTAAAATATAAGATGTACGCCATTTTTAATTGCGTCACAGATCCCCAACAACTGCATCTTGCTCATAATTCATGAATCTATTTTTTACCAAATCAGTGGACAGCAATTTTCTTGCCTTTGACTGGGTCCCGTGACTCAGAATTTCCTTGGCTTTTCACTGACAGCTTCAAAGGAAAAAACTGTCGCGATACATGAAGCAGCTGTTTTAACAAATATTTTAAGAAAGCAGCGAAAGTTATACAGTACATTTGGCTTGTTTGTCTTTACTGGTAGGTTGAAGAGGGAGGCAGGCTTCAATGTTTCTTTCTGTTTGTATTTGTAATATCTTTCTCTTTGTAATTTGGCAATCGCCTATTTCTTTTCCCGATGGATTAGCTTTAGTTAGTAGCTATTTGCGGCGCATCCAATATTGTAACTTTTTTATTCTTGTTGATAAATTAATTGTTTTTTTTTTTAAATATTGCAACAGATTAAAGACCCAAGGTGCTGGTGGTGGTGACGGGGGGGGGGTTAGGAACCACCCCTGCCCCACAAAGTCGTTGTGTGGCATTTTTATGGATATCTATCTGTTTTTCTTTCAGACAGAGACGAATGTAGTTCCGTGAGATGCGCCTATCGCTGTCGGAATACTCCTGGTGGCTACCGATGTATATGCCCGAGTGGTTACAATTCCACTGGCTACTACTGTTCAGGTAAATCTTCTGTTACCTTGTACGGGTGGCCATTCTGTGGAGCTTTCAGTAACAGAACATGCTTTGTCTAAAAGCTGGGAGAGAGTTAAGTTGTAGTGGAGCAAAAGTCCCGTTGTTCAAGGTTTTGACTGTAATTTGTCTCTCTCTTCTCTTCAGATTTTGATGAATGCGAGGCTGGAGCAAAGTGTAATGACGATCAGTTTTGCTTTAACACTTATGGGGGTCAGAGATGCATTCCTAAATTAAAGTGCTATACAAATTACGAAAACATGTCAGACACGTAAGTACAAATGGTTAGGTTAGGTGAGGGGGATGGGTTCGAACCAACCACATGCTTCACTAATTACACAATAACTTTATTTCACCCCCACCCCATCGATAACTTTTTTCGCGCCACTGCCCTTTCCCCCTAGCCTCGAGAGATACTGCGATTCACGTATTTCTAATTAGGATTTTAAAAATTGTTGACTTATGCCAGGTTTAGCACCTAGGCAGCTTCACATTCCTCTAATTGCCAGGTCTAGACTAAATAAAAGCTGTTTCTTACCTCCCGCGCGTGTTTTCTGGATGCCATAATTAGTGCAATAATGGTAACTGCTTTGTATAACAATCCTTTGTACTCAGCGTATACCATTTCCTTGGTATTTTTGTATATATTTTTTATAAATTTCATTATGCTATGGTCAACTCAAGTACTATTACTTCAAGCACGCATTGCTTGCCTAAAATTACCAAGCGCGTTTAATACTTGACATTGCCTAATTTCAAACCGAGCGGGCCTGAATCGAGTCTGATTATTATGGGATAAAGAACAGGAGACCCACATAGTTAGAAAGAGTACATTTCAGTTAGGAACGTTCTCAAGTTTGGTGTTTACCGGGCGTATATTGAACGAGATACAGCCATTTAAAAATGCAGAATTTAATAAGAAATGAAAAGACGTCCGGAAGGTGTCTCCAGTAACCCATATATTATCTCTTACAAATTTGCAAGTTTTTAAGTAGCTGTATCTTGTTTAATATTGACCCGATCAACATCAAAACTCGAGATTTCTACTAACTTCAATGTGCTCTTTCTGACTAGGTGTGTCTCGCTTTGTTTATTCCAAAAGAAACGGACTTGTACCCAGCCCTGCCCGGTTTGAAACTAGGCAATTCACACTATTTTCTGTCTCTTTTCTTTTGCTGTGTAGGAGGTGTGACCGAAGATGCCCCGATGGTGATACTGCTTGTTACAACCACAACAAAGTTCAGCGCTACAGTCTCTGGACATTCAAAATGCGCAGCAATGATCCTCCATACAGAATCTTTAGCTATCGAATTGTCACTTACGGTAAGGCATTATTCACAACCAGTCTACGTCACGTGACATTCAGGTTTGACAGACTTTTCAGAGTATAAAATATAGGTTGGAAATGTTAGTCGGGGTGCATCCTAAAATTTTTAGCTCCTTTTATTTCCAGTTAATACGTACAGTATTTGACCACAAAATCTCGATTGAGTGTGTGCCATAGCTGGTGAGTTCGTTTTCGTCGTTATAAAATTTATACTAGGTTTTTCATGGCCTCTATGGAGATAATGTGCTCCTTAGGCAGAGCAGCAATGATGATTAGTGTCCATTTTTATGGATCGAAAGTCGTCTCAGCAATTTGCAGCGACAAGTCAAGCGATTTCTCGAGGGAACGAGAAAGCGTTGTGTGTTCCTCTTAAAAGCCATGTTGATTTTGATTGAGAAAGGGCTGTGCAGTATCATTGTCTAATTAAAAGAGACTTACCTGTCGAAATTTGACCGGGAATCTTCCATAGTGTCTTCAAAACTGCAGAGACATATGAGTTAGCTAGTCACGTGACATCGAGCTTAGTGCGAGGTTTGGCTTCGAGCGAGATCCGGGCCTCTCTGTTTTTGCTAATTTGCACGTGACGTCATGGCAGTCATGTTGCTGGTCAAGAACAACAACATTTCTGTCTTCTGTGAATTAAACTCCATTTTCGTGCAAATTCTTTGAAATAATTTTTATTGTATTGACCAACAACTTGGTCGCCATGTCACGTGGTCGCAAATCAAGGATGAGTGGGTCCCTTATTTACTTGACGATCTGGTCGGAACCCGCCACTGAAATAGCAGCTTTCGGCATTGATTCTGTACGTTATGTCATTGAAAACCATTTTGATTTCATGGAGCGAAATCGTTTGAAATGAATAACTTTTTTTTAACTGTTATTTTTGCAGGCTACAAGAAACGTCCTGAAGTCAAATATTACTTTCATCGTGGCAACAAAGAGAATAATTTTGAAATAATTACACGGGATGAAAATAATGGAGTTTTCGCTTACATTCGGAACAGAAACAGGATCAAGGGCCCAAGGATTTTCTACCTAGAGTTTCGAGGTGATGTCGTCGATAACGGGACATTGGCGTCACGCTTTGTGCATCGGATGTATGTCTTTGTATCGCGTTATGATTTTTAGTCACGTAAGTGAACTTTTCTTGGCGTGACCAGTCGAAGTTGTTTACCTACCGGTACTATAAAAACCAAATAAAGATATGTTTAAAGTAGTAAAACTAAGTTATGTGTACTGTTAACCCCAGAATGTACAGCCAGGTTTGCCTTACCATTTAACAAATGTGCGTGGATCCTACCCTTGCTTGTCAATTATTAATAACAGCAATAATAACAACAACAATAATAATGATGATAATAGTAATAATAATAATAATGATGATGATGATGATGATGATAATGATGGTGATGAGGATGAATATGATTATAGTGATAATGATAATAGTAATGATAATGATAACGAAACTAACAGAAAACTAAAAGAAAAGGAATTTTGGCGTGGTTACTTGAAAATAAGAGGGTGTGTTCACATTAGTGCCCAGTGAACACCAAATGTGAACACTCCCTAACACCGTCCAGCGTGTAAACCTAGGCCCAATTTTCACGTCCCAATACACTTCCCCTTTTGCGCTCAGAGAGAAAAATAAGACTAGTTTCTATTAATGTACAAATATAGTGATAGTGTTCTCGTTCCTTAGCTGAAAAAACAAGTCTAACGTTTGCAAATAAAGAACAAAAAGTAAATTTATATAACCTAGCTTCTAGTTCTGGTTACTTTCCCTTAAGAAAGTGTCTCGCATGGAAACGTCAACAGACAAGAGATTATTGCAGAAAATTGTTCTCCGATAGACGTAGAAAGTAGTCGTGGAATTTGGTAGGTAGTTGTTGAGCCTTTAAAAACAATTATGAATAATCAAATTCAGCGCGGGCAGCAATACAAGATTCCAAATATATAGAAAACGAATATTTATTTTGGATTATCCTTTCTTTTGGCTTTAGATAGAATTAACCCTCCGTTTTCCGTGGAGGCATAAGCCGTCTATCAATATTGAAGACACAGTGATGCCCAAAACGAATGCTTAGTAAAGAAAGATATGATATCACCTTCTGTTTATTTCAAAAGTAAAGGCCTTGTGAAAAAAGGAAATACCCGCCAAGTGATAGGTGCTTGTTGTTAAAACAAATTCACTAACTACACCGTGCATTTGGAAGTGCATAATTAGGGGTTTCCCTGATCTTCCAGGCAAAGCTAACGAATTGAACCTACAATAATAAAATTTTGAAAGTGGTACAAAAACACAGCTGGATCTACTAGCTGTTCTTTTAACATTCAATAGAGGATGAAACCAAAGACAAAAAATTAGCCGGAAAGACTGTTGCTAAGTAGAATAAGAAAGGGTGCGACTCTACTTTGTAAGTAGAGAACATTTTAGTGTGTCTACTATTACGATGTACGCTTCTGTAAATAAGACCTTGGTAATGAATGCTGTGTATGTTGCAGAATCAATCTACTTCACGTGACGAATTTCAGCTCTAATTGTTGTCTAGTCCCCGTTCCTCATTTGTTTCCTTTACCTATGGAATTTCCCTACACGAAAACCCCTTTTGAGGGTTTGCCGATGAGAGAGCTCCAAACCAAAATCTCAAATAAAGTATTTGGTCTGTGACTCATAAGTCGCATAACTATTTACAACACCAATCTACAACTCACAATCCAGCAGAACTAACAATAATGCCTCTGTTCTGTTAAACGAGTACATGTCGGCTCAAGTCTATCTCTGCTCTCTTTTTTACGGTTCTCCAAACCTCAAACTATCTGGCCTGAAAAGTTCTCATAAGGTCTGCGACTCATAAAAGCCCCTTCTAGGCCTGACTCGTCCCCAGTCGTCTTGGCGTAACGCGCGCGGCGGGAGCAAGGGGTGATGGGAAGGGAAAAGGGAGGAAGACCACTGGGACTGGTCTCTCTCCCTCGCTTTCCTCTTTCCCATCACACCCCTCGCGCCACTAAGGAGAGACAGAGAGAGAGAAAGACGACTGAGGATGAGTCACCCTTCTAGGCTTTGCGGATGAGAGGGATCCAAACTAGGGCGCTTACCAAAAGATATAATTCAGGCCAGCAAGGCTGATCTTTTTACAAACGAAACAGAATTTGTTTCGAGAGTTTTCTCTTAATTAACACCGTGTACTGCTTGAGGTTCTGCTTAGGAATGGGCTGCCTGATCGGGCTACACAGTTCTGTTTAACAGTGGGATTTTCTTTACTACTGAACTCGTCTTGTCACCCATTTCTGGCTTATGGTAAGCGCCCCTGGCCAAGAATCTTTCTTTTACATCAGAAAAAAAAAAAAACAAATGCAAAAAAACCTGCTGGTTAACAAGACAATGCCCCTTTTTATTTAAAACGTCATTACAAGTTTAAAACTATTTACAGCATCATCTACAATTCAGATGACGATCCAACAGACCTAAAAAGCTTAACTAGCCTTATTCTGTTGTTCTCTTGCTTAGTGGTCACCAAACCTCACACAAAGTATCTGGTCTACCACTCGCAACTTCTTAAAACTGCCAGTCAACAGTCCAACTATGGTCACTAGTTAAAGAACTCTGCCCAGTCATGGCAATCAGATTGATTACAATGAAGCTGTGATATTTGATCGTCTAACTTGAAGGTGCATGCAAGACAATTTCGAACTGTACCACAAACTCGTAAAGAAATAATAAATAAGCTAACCAAGACTGTTTAACAAGATTCCTCCCCTTAAAATCGAATATCTACAGGGCCTGAGGTTATGAGGTGTTTTGGGGGAAACCGCATGCTATCACTAATTCTTCAAGAGCTAGTCAAGTTGTCATATCGACTCGTAGAAAACTTGGTTCTGGTAGTAACTATTTTTATTGTTAAGTACAAAAGGGTTTTCTCAGTTCAATTTTCGCAGCACTTCCACTTTGCTATTAACTTCCAGGTGTCTGCAGTTTTCACGTGCACGCCTTCTGCATTTGCTAAAACAAAACCAAAGAAAACGTTTGTAGTTGAATAAGTAAAAGTAGTTTTGTTTAACACTCTTGAAAACATCTAAATGATCGGCAGTTTTCCTTTAAAACTAGGCATTTTTTCTGAACTTGGTCCTAAGTCTAGCAAAGTGGAATAAACTCTTCTCCGATACTTTTACTCGGGCTACTACCATTGAAAAAGTTTAATTTCTTTTTTCGTCGGAGACTGACTTCCCCTGTTTAGTGGTTTTCGTGCCTTTCCACCCTCAGAAGGTTCGTTATAGCACTGGATTTCATAGAAATCTCTAACAACTGATTGCGAGCCGCTGAGGTAAGCCTGGGGCAGGCGGTTGAAAGGGAATTGAGACAGGATAAATTCCGGGTGTTCGAGAATGTGCAAGGCGCGCCTTCTTGCTTGCTTCCCTTCGCTCTACCGAAAGCCAAAATGGAGGTTGAAAGAACTTGGAACACGGTAGGAAAACCTTTCCAAGTAATTGTTACATAGGAATCAGCTTCTAATGACAATTTTTGGATCAGCTTTGGGTTCATCCCCTCATCCCCCTACATTCCCCAGACCATGTTGTGACCCCAAACGGACTTATTTCCAGCCATCCACCATTTTCACATACACCTTGTTTCTCCCCCCCCCCCCCTCGACACACACACACACAAACACCCCCCTCCCAATATTTTCCATAACCAATTCTTCGATTTCTCTTGGGATAACTGTAATACAAGGTGTATAATGTGTCTATGTGAAAATGGTGAATTCAACATTGTGTCGGGTGGTAGGGGCGAGGTCGTCACTTTCACTATAATTACTGGGAATGACCAATTGACCTCCATTACAATACTTACCTCCCCACTGGATTCCAGAACCTTTGATCTTTTCAGGATCACCGCTGTGACTGTAGCTATCCTCGATTGTTACTAGGTTAAAGCTGATATTGCCAGCGTTTGTTTTTGCGGTTTCCCATACTTCTTTCTCTATCCCATACCATGCTCCGTTTGGATATTTCTGGCGCATATAGGCGCGGTTATTGCACGCTATGCCATACAGGTGGGATCCATCCTGACCGATAATGTAGCAAACTTGCTGGTCCATGGCTGTGGGAATAAATATTTATAGTTCATTTAGAATTTATTTGATATAATTTGTTTTGTTTGATTTAACAATTATTGAATGAGGGTGAGTATGATCTGAAGAAATAATTACCCAGATCGAGGGAGGGCGTTATAGCACCTTTCTCAATCTGCATAATACTTTACATCATACGAAAGCCGAAACCTATGATTAATTTATCGTCATCCGGCGAGTTGTATTTTTAACGTTCCTTCTATAGTTTTAGGTAGTGATTCGGCCATTTCTTCGAAGCGAAGAGTGTGAAATTTCCCGCCATTTGCTCCAGTTCTACCAAAACAACAGGGCTAACAAGGCCTTGTCCCCGATGGCTCGTTGATTTCCGTGTTTATTTCTGGAGGTAGCCTGCATTATTGACGTCATTTTAACGGATATCGCAAAAGTCTTCCTATTTAATTAGCCGGGGATTTGTACCAGTCAGAAACTGAAACAGGCCAGAAGCCGATTACTGGACAGGGACAGTTGTGATTTCTTTTATCTAATTAGCTGCCAATTCGAGTTACGAAGTTATGAATATATGAAAATCATATATGTGAACTACAGGGGGAAGAATTATATGAAAGTAGATCGTCACAGTTATAGACCGAACTTTTGCAGTTGCGAAACGAAAGCCTGAAAAAAGTCAGGCTTGTACAGGATAAGCTTGAATTTTTTTTTTCGCGACTGCAAAAGTTGCATCTATAACTGCGATGATCTACTTTGATATTTTTATTCATATAATAATTCGAGTTACGTTGAAACCACTTCTAAGAACTTTGTTAAGAATTACCAGTCCATGAGCTTCCTCGGTCAGATGTCGAAAAGCAACTGGACTTCACTCTGTGAAAAAAAAAAAGACAGGTTTAGCCAGAGCTAAAAGCGAAGCTCCTGTTTATGCATTCTAAATTTACTTCAGACAATGGATTTTAAACCATTCCGAAGAAATCCTCAAATCTATACTTAACTTTAGGGGCGAACCATATGACTGAAAAACAAAAACTTGAGCCTGCAATCAATTAAAAGCTAAGAACTGGTCAACGGAAAACTTCAAAAAAATTCGTGACATCGATTAGTTGGCACCTAAGCCCGCGATACAGTCATGTTGATCTGGTCAGCGTAAACCCTTTTTTTACAGCTTACCATAATATGGATATCTATTCTCAAGTTAAACACAGGTTACAGGCTCCCATACTAGCTAGAAAGTTTGACATTTCAGATTGGTTTCCCTGTGGTACGAACAGACGAGCGTACGGTCACGTGATTACCAAATTTTCTCGGATGGACAGATAACCAAATTTTCTTACGTATGGTGCTCCGCTGTACGTAAGTTCATTCAATGTAAGGGACAGTGTCCTCCTCATTTAAGCATTCATCGAAATTGATTACCAATAAAGAATTGTTATGGAATATTGAATGGTTTACAGTAAACTGAATAGCTTTAGGTAGGTTTTTTAAACAATATTATGAAGCCTATACACTTTTATTTATTAGTTATTTTTTAGTTCTTCTTTTGTCTTAACGATAATGGGCCATCGATGCCTCGTTTCAAGGTAAAATTTCTTTTCAATCTTGCAAGTGCAATCGAGGAAATGAGATCTAATTAGTAAAGCGTAAATATAAAAGGAAAGCAGTATTACTGTCATTTTAATTGCAATAAGGTGCGTTTAACTCCAGCATTCCAATTCAAACCTGGGCCTTTTCTTAGTAGTATTTGTTGAACAAAATAAGCCCTGTTTTGTATGGGATTCCTTTTAGATTCCTTAAATACTTTAAAACGTCTGCATCTTTGTTTTAATAAATTGACCTTTCACCTGCGGGGCAATCGCTCTATTAGAACATTGCGCATGCACATCGAACTGTGACGTAGGCTGCATGCATAGATAACGACCAATCACAGCATGCGTGTGCATCATTACATTGAATAATTTGTAATAGTGGCTTATTTAGACTGCTCACCTCTTGCTTGATTTCTGACAGATGTACACAACGTTGTTTTTGGCGTCCAGTAGAAATCCTCTACTATACACCTCTTCAAGATAAATGCAAAGCATTAGTTTAACCCCTGAAGCCTCTTTAAGTGACTAAAAACTAGTCACGTAACTTAAGTGCTTACGTACGTAAATATTAAAGTCATGAGAATATAGGAAATGATCGCTGTGGTGACAAGTGATCATGGAGGATCGTTTTTAAAATAAGGATCGCAGAAGTATGAATATTTTTAGCCTGACATTTAATAGAAAAATAAGAACATTCAGTCGGGCTGGAAAATATTATGATATGAAAAGAGGTGTGTACAGAAAAAAGGTCAGCAGATTACATGGAGTGTGTGTGGATTAAATAAAGCAAAGTGTTAACTTACCTTGCAGATCTGATGACCCATCATTAGGTGGACCGCCACCTAGAGAATAAAA